GGAAACGGAAGGACGTAGATAATTTTTTACTTCAAGATGTATGAAATCTTTTCGATTTAAGACTTTTAAATTGCAGACAATTTTTATTTAAAGAAACCCAATTACCATCCTGATTTAAGACAGTTAAAAGGCTGAATGTTCTGCTAGGTGGAAGAAATCAATTGGCAAGATCACTCCAAATTAGCAACATCGACATTTTCATCGGCTTCAGTATTGCACTTCAGACTTTTTCCACAAATTTTTAATTTGAGTGTCAGAAAAATTCTTGACATCATTGAGAATATGTTTCTTATCGTGAAAAGACAATTTCGATTTTTTATTTTGATGGACTAACCAAGAGGAAAGAGACCGAACGCTGAATCGGATCATTTATCGAATAAAACCCGTTCATTAGTGGTTTACCGAGTGTGAGGATGCATTTCGGGTTCGGAAATCTTGATATCGTATACTTACTGGAATAACATGGAAGTGTGCTCTGTAAGAGAAAACCATTTGCCTCGGACCATTAAGATATTTGTGTTTCTACTGCTTGTGCCAGGTACTTATGTAATAACGTATATGAATATCTATTAAATTACTCCACGGCGTTAAATAATAAAAGTCTGCGATTAATTACCTTAAAAATATAAATAAAAACAAAAGGTATTTTTGAAAGCATGATATTCAATTAAAAAATTGTTTTATGTATGAATTTTATACCTGGGTTATTGTCAAAATAAAAATGTCCTTCATTTGTTTGCTTACCTGTATAAATGTTAACACAACTTCTTTATACATGTAGATGTTAATTCAATATGGAGATTACGGTCTTTCTGGGGGCTCAAGTTGTACATTATTTGATAAAAATTGCTACATTTAGCTTTTAATATTCTTCATTATTTACAAAACATATTAGTAAATTTGATTATTCAATATTTAATGAGGAAAGAGAGTAAAAAGAAAATGTACACAGAAAATTATATCAAGTTATTTGAAAGTCTACCATTTACAAGAAATTTTTTAATGAACGTAAATTTACCGAAAAAAAGTTCTTCAAAGAACCATATGCAACGGACTTGGACTCAAAGCCTATTTTTTGTAAGAAAATCAAGATAGTTGCGTTTAATTTTGGTCTCTACAATATTTAAAAATATGAAATTGAAGTTAAAATTTAATCATGTATTAAACATCAACACGCCAGAAAGTAAAAAGTAAAAACAAACTAAATGAGTTCTCACGGATATAAAAATAAAAATCAAGAAAATCACCGTTGTTTCAAATTGACTGCAAAATTACTGTAATAATTGTTTTACCTCGATCGTTGTTCTTACGTAATAAGGGCTAGAATCTCAAAGGAATAATAAACAAATGCAATCAATAACAATTTTATTCCATGTGCGCGTTTTATAAATTAAAAAAGCGCTGTTTTATCTCAAATTCATTTAATTACGAACCTGTAGCGCGATTTTTATTTGATTGCTATTTTATGTGCAAGGAAGATCCACCATCCTTTAAAAAAGTCTGTAAAATAAAATTTCAAACAGTAAATGCGATGAACATGTAACGCAACGCATTAAGATTGTAGAATTCAACGCTCTTGGTTTTCCTGTAGACCTTGTGTTAATCCCTTGCCTGAATCTTGATTCTCGCAGTTCAAAATGGTAATCAATTTTAAAGCATTTGATCTACTGGAATTTTGCGTGACTGGAAGACGAAGATGACACAGAGATTTTCCTACATCCTTTCTAACGACACAAACAATGAAGGTTTCCCAGGCTCTTTTAACTGAAAGTCTTCAAATCCGACAGTGAAGACGGAAATTCTTTCCTACATTGATTGGGATCAAGAAACCATTGAGCCCAATGTCTCGAGGATGTTCCGATTATGTGCTAATTAAGAAAGAATTTCTTCTATGTAATTGGTAAATAACGTAGGTTTGCCTTTGACTAAAAGTGACAATTTTTATCTGCCCCACAGAGAAGGGCGCTATTCCAGGTACATGTATATAAATCACTCTTTCAGTTCGTTTTTCTGCAAATTGTATTCGAGTAGTAACATGGATGAGTATAATAAATACAATTGGCTTCAGGACAAATGATCTTAGCTGGTCATACATGTAGTAGTATCAGTTAGCATTCAAATAAAGTTATGGTCATATTTCTTTACGAATTTTCATGTGAACAGTGATTGCTCATGTCAAGAGAATGTGTCATGACCTTGGCTAAAAGTTATCTGATCAAGTACATGTATATTGGCAAAAAAATGATGTGTCTGGACCATAACTTTGGAGGGGAGAAAGACTGTAACTCCTATATGCCACGCAGGTTGTATATGGCCTAGACTTAACAGCTGTCATTGAATCACGGTTCTTATCCCAAATGGAAGAGTTAGGGATAGGTTTTTTTTGTTTTGAACATATTTTATTGAATTAATCAAAAGGATTGGAAACAAGTTCTTACAACTTACTTCTTAAATATAACAATATGTCATGCAAATAATACATTAAAATATTATATTTTCAAGTGATATAAGTGAATAAGACGTCAATTTAAAATCTACATGTTTCGTCAATAAATTTATGGACAGCAGCAAAAATATTGTTATTAGTTAGTACAGGTAAATCTTTATCACCCCATAGTGACAGGTTTGTGTCAGTTGTAACCAATTCTTCAAGCAAAAACAGGTGGTTGAAAAGATTGTTCCTAGCATTTGCATAATTTCTACAAGCAAAAAAAAAAAAAAATAATGATAAACATCTTCGTACTTTCCGCATGAACAAAGGGGACTGTTGATGATATTGCGTTTATATAGATCATAATTAAGTAAACAGTTGTGTCTTATTTTAGTATGAATTATGTTTGTGTAGCATTTGCCAAAAAAAAAAAAAAAAAAATACGTTGGCGGATTGGTGATTTTTGTACAAGCTCTTAAGTTTTTTACGGAATGAATTAATTGAAATGGCTTTTCTTGTTTCTAATTTTAATAAGTTCCATTGTTTCACAGCGTCTGGTACAAATGACCTTTTGAATAGTTCTAATCTACATCTTGGAATAATAAACTGCTCTTTATTGCGGGTATTGTATTTTGATACATTTTCATGCTTGTTTGGTACAATATTACTTAAATATTCAGGAACAGTCCCTTTATGAATTTTTAAACATTGTAGTCATTTTTGCAGTATAGCGCCTAAATTTTAAAGTTTCCCAACCAGTTTCTAAATAAAGAGTTTCTGTAGATGCAAATATAGGAAGTCCTGTGACAATTCTAGCCGCAGCTAGTTGTACTTTTTCAAGCTTTTCAGAATCATGTTCAGAGCAACCATCCCAAACAAGAGAAGCGTATTCAAGCATTGGTCTAATAAATGTAGTGTACAATTTTGAAAGGTTATTTCTACTCAATTTAAACTGTAGTTTTTTCAAAAGCCCTAGTTTTTTTTATAAGCACTGTTTACAATACCGTCAATATATGCAGACGAGCTGAGATTCTGTGACAACAAGCATTCTGAGAGTATTGCATTAGCAATACTAGTCCCCTACCGGCAAGTGTAATCTGGTTCCCGTTAAAAATTGAAAATGCCATAATTCCGTCAAAAATCAATGAAGAGGGGCGAAATGCAAACTTGATCTATAACTAATCAAGGTAAAGTCACATACCAAAAATCAGCTCAATATCTGAAAGCGTTTAGAAGAAAATTGCGGAAAACCCCTAAAAATTGAAATGGGCACAATTCCGTCAAAAATCAATGAAGTGGAACAAAATGCAAACTTGATCTGTAACTCATCAAGATACACTCACATACCAAAAATCAGCTCAATATCTGCAAGCGTTTAGGAAAAAAGTGCGGAAAACCAAGTGGGACAGACTGACAGACAGACAGAGGGACAGACGGACGGACAGACAGACAGACAGACGGACGGACAGACTCAGAGGAAACCTATAGTCCCCTCCGGTTTCACCGGTAGGGGACTAATAATAAGCCCAAGTGTCTATGGACTTTTTTTTGACCAGAAAAAATGTCTGGCTAAATCTACGATCAAACTAATTTCTACAGTATAAGTATTCAAGTAGGACCATTTCTCACCTATCAAAAAGGTAATATATAGATTCATCAAATCAATTTTGCAGTCTTTGATTTAGAGTAGGTCACTGTTTCGACTTCTCTGGCCTCATATTTTTTTTAGACAAGAATCGCACGACTTTGACTTGATTAAGATCAAAATCTTGACTTGCTTATGGATGTGAGTGAATCATGTTCCAGGGTTGTTTGCTTGGGTGTTTAGACAAGCTGACTATTTGTATGGTCTTATTCTTAATTGGGTACTCACTTCAATCATTTGGAGGAATAATGTCATATTTGAAAAAAATGGGAATGCAAACCTGTCCTTAAGAATAGGAGTATTTATTTTCATTTCTAAAACCGGAGGTAGCTTTTCAACCTTAGCAATCTAAGGTTGTTCAGCTGTCTCGCTTTAATATAATATGAGACTGTCAAAAACGAACAGATAACTTTGTAGAATATACTTCATTATGAATAGTGAAAGGTTCATGGGGTACACTATCCCCCCCCCCCCCCCTTTACAAGTGCATGTTTCAATCTCTAAGAAGTAATTAACGTATTTTTAGCAGTTTAAAATAAAGCTACATAGCCTATTTTCCTACAGTATTTACACTCCTAACTTGTTTTTTAAATGAATAACTTGTATATATGACCCAGTGAAACTTATTCTATTGAGTAAGACAACAAATACACGTAATTATGTTTAAATGTGATATACACATGTATGCACAAACATGATTTTAATGAAAGAGTGAAATGCAAAATATGATTATTTAGTGCTAATTTAATGGATATCAAATGCTGTCAGTTTTACCTTTTTTTAAAAAAAATTTAATTTCTTTTAGAACACCTTGCAAATTTTCCCGCCAGCATCACCGACAGTGCATTTTATAATGTCACATACGTGATGAACCCTAATATTGATGACGTCATTACTAGACCGATACCCGATGAGCAACGATTGATGAATCACATCTTGAAGGGATATGAAAGAGCTGTGCGACCCGTACAGAACGCCTCGTCAGCCGTCATCGTTAAGATGGGTTTGACCTTAACTCAGATATTTGATATGGCAAGTATTACAAAGACCTTTTAAAAATGACAGTAGCTACTGTACCAGTTGACTGCAGGCTCTGCTAAGTTGACTTTTACAGTAATTTGCTAACACAAGCACTTGTTTTGCATACAGGACACCCCACCATTTTTCTTTCCACAAGGTACCTAATTCAATTTCAGACACACACCCCTTCTAGCTCGTATTTCACTAGGCACATGTCGGCCGATTCGTACATCATCTAACCTCGGCTGTATCATTTAAACGACCATTGAACCGGGGCTACTTTACAGTCAACATGGCTGCGCCTTGAATTACAGGTGAAGGCTGTGCTGATTTCCATACGTAAACAAACATGTGATGATGTAAAAGATTCTACATGCATGTTCTTAGGTTTTTTTTGTTTGTTTGTTGTTTAACGTACCTCTCGAGAATTTTCCACTCATATGGAGACGCCACCACTTGCCGGTGGAGGGCTACAAATTTTGACCTATACTCGGCACTGAGGGCCATTGAGCAGTGAGGGATCTTTTTCGTGCCAGCACCTACAGCGACATGGAACCTCGGTTTATACGGTCTCATCCGAAGGACCGGTCTCATTGTTATTCTAAATGTTATCTTAATGCTCTTGAAGATTTTTGTCATATGTCATATGCTTGTTTATTATGCTTTTGGAAGCGTTACGGTTTCCCTTAGCGGTAAACCGGCAGCCGTATCACAATAGGCGGAGACGTATCACGTTACGTCATACAGCCAAGGTTTGATGAAGGCTTGTTATGTGTGCCGTTAACGCTGGTTATGTTTGTCGTTAATGCTGGTTATGTTTGCTGTAAATGCTGGACATGTTTGCCGTTAATGCTGGTTCTGGTCGATGGTAATGCTGGTTATGTTTGCCATTAATGCTGGTTATGTTTGCCGTTAATGCTGATTATGTTTGTCTTTTATGCTGGTTATGTTTGCCGTTAATGCTGATTCTGGTTGATGTTAATGCTGGTTATGTTTGCCGTTAATGCTGATTATGTTTGTCTTTTATGCTGGTTATGTTTGCCATTAATGCTGGTTATGTTTGCCATTAATGCTGGTTATGTTTGCGGTTAATGCTGGTTCTGGTTGATGGTAATGCTGGTCATGTTTGCTGTTCATGCTGGTTCTGGTTGATGGTTATGCTGGTTATGTTTGCCGTTAATGCTTGTACTGGTTGATGTTAATGCTGGTTATGACTGGTGTTACCCTAACAAACAAATACTTAAGTTAACAAGAATTACTATAGTGATAACTACTTTTATTTACCATACTGATAACCATGAAGACTTTGATTTACTAGAGTAATAACTGAAACTTTGATTTACTATAGTTACCTTTAGTAAACTCTAGTTAACTTAAGAGTATTATAAATAGTATTTTTTGCTAAAGTAATGTTGATAAACGCTGGTGTTAATGTTAGTAATGGTTGGTGTCAATGTTTGTTATGCTTGCTGTTAATATTTGCTTTTATTGCTGGTTATGGCGCGATTATTGCTGATCTTGGTTAATGTCAATACTAGAAATGTTTATTATCAATACAGGTTATAGTTACTGTCTATGCTGATTTCTTGCCTGTAATGCTGAATTTAGGTGTCAGTTTTTTGTTGCTGTTTATTATGGTGGATATGGTTGTTTCAATGTTACCAGTTTGTTGTTTTGATATTAATATTGGTTCGGTTGCTGTCTCTGCTGATTTTGTACTGTTAATAAGAGTTGCTGTCAATGCTGGTAGTGATATGCTTCAATGCTGACTGCTGTAAATGCTGTGTATGGTTGCTATTACTGAATTTTGCTTACTATTTATAACAGTTGTTGTAAATGCTGGTACCGGTTGTGTTTGTTGAACATGCTGATTGCTCGTTGTAAATGCTGGTAATGGATCCTTGAATGCTGACTGTAAACTGTTAATGCAGAATATTATACTTTCATGTAAATTAGTTGAATCTGATTCGTCGAGAACCATTTTTTAAAAAACACTATTACCCGCTGAATAATGAAGCCACGCCCTTCAGCATAACAACAATCAATATTGCTTGACGACGGGTGTTATTCCAAAAGAATATTGAGTGCGCAGAATTTATGCGCGCGGTTCACTGTAATACGTATTTGTATAAAACATTCAGTATAATGTAATAAATACTGCATATAATTGAGAATTGCGCCTCGGTTGACAAAGGTTTTCTTGGGTTGAAAATTTTCAATGTTACACTCAACTACATGCAGTATTTATATATTGTGTCATGTTTGGTATTAAGTTTTTGCAATAAACGTTTGTTTTGATTCCTGTCAATGATGGTTATGTTTATGTTTTCTGTTATTGCTGGTTTTGGTGCTGTCAATGCTTGTTTTGTTTGCTGTTGGTGCTCATATTTGTTGTTGTTAATGCTGATTATATATGCATCTGTAGTGTCAGTGATGTTAATTTTTCGTATGAACAATTCTAAAACGTGACAGGTAAGTGAGGCTACTGACATACATGTTGATGATACAAGAGTATCTACAATCTCGTTTAAAGTCAACATTTCGCAAAATGTATGGTCGATACAATGATCTTGTTTGCAAATACACGTCGATTGTTGGATGACGTCTTTCAAACAAATTGTTTGACCATTATTTTTATAAGTTTGAATTGAATACGGATTCCTCCGTTTACCCAACCATGACAAAGAGCACACAGCGGGTGTGAACTGTCTACAGGGAATATTTACCCCTCAATGGCACCTAATTCCCCCTCTGAGTTTTTCAGAGGTTCTTGTTTGTTCTGCTCAGAATTTGTTTTATTTCAGCGGACTATTGAGCAAGACTACTGTTCGTTATCTTCATTTCGTTTTGGCTATAGATGCCAACAATATTGCGTGCTGTGAATGCGGAATGCAGTTATCAATGTTTACTCGTAGTTTCGGTTACTGTTTATGCTGGCATTTTGTTGTGAATGCTGGCTATTGTTTCATTCCTTACTGTTTGCTATTGATGGTGGGTTTTCTTGTTTTGGTTGGCGTCAATGCTGATCACAGTTGTTGCAAATCCCGAATATTTGCAGTTTGCGCTGTTAATTGTTGCTGTTTTGCTGTTTGTTTGTTATTCATGCTGGGTTTTCATACTGTCAATGCTGGTTATGATTGCTGTCAATGTTGACTATGGTTTGTGCCAAAACTGATTGTTCGCTGGCATTGCTGACTTTTGCTGGCAAAACGGACTGTTTGCTGTCAACTTCGTTATGGTTGTTGTCAAAGGCGACTGCTTGGTGTTCAAAGTAACTTACTGTTTTCAAGACTGACTTTTTTCTCTTCATACTGGCTGCCTGTTGTTGTAAATTGTGAATGTTTGCAGTCGATGCTTTCTGTCAAGGGTTGCTGTCAATATCTATTCTTGTCAATTCTGGTTATGGTGCTGTCAATACTGATTGTTTGCTGGAAATGCTATTTACTGGCAAGCCTGACTGTTTGCTGGCAATGCTGATAATTTTGACTGTTGGCAATATTGACTTCTTGTTGGCAATACTAAGCTGGTTTTAATTTGTGTCATTACTAATTGCTTTTGTCAATAATGACTGTTTATTGTCAATACAGACTGTTTGTTGCTAATGTTGCCAATATTGTTTGCCCTCATTGATAGTTATGTTTCCTGTCAACATTGACTGTTTGCTGTCAATACTGGCTGTGTCAATATTGACTGCTTGTTGGCAATACTGACAGATTTTGGAAATACTGATTATTTGCCGTCATTACTGGTTATGCTTGCTGTCAGTATCGACTGTCTGTTGTCAATACTCATTGTTTCCTGGTTATGCTGACTGCTGTTAATACTGACCGAGCAATACTGATTAGTATATCCCCGCTCCGACGGAGAGGGGATATACTGTTTTACCCTCGAGTGTATGCCTATCTGTCCATGTGTCTGTCCGTAACAAATTTTCGTCGCAGTTTTCTCAGCAACTACTCATCGCAGATGCGTGAAATTTAAGCACTCTTTGTGTAGGCATGCCATATGATGGGATTCATTTTTTTTTTACATCTGATGTCAACGTCCTCTTTATTCGTGCACCTGTCTGTACCAAATTTTCCTTGCAGTTTTCTCAGCAAATACTCGTTGCTGATGTTTGAAGCAATGCTGACTGTTGTCAATACTGACTGTATGCTGTTAATACTGACTATTTGATGACAGATGTATATTACGGACTTCTTGTGCTGATTTTCTTACGCTGGTTTATTTAACAGAAATGTTCCCTTTACTGGCGTGCGGAAAAAAACTGACGTACAACTTATTTATAATAAAAAAAATGAAAGTGCAACAATAAGAGTATTAAATACGGACTGACCACCTCTGAAAATCATCCATACTTTTCTGTATAGTATGATCACATATTTACTGTACTCTTGTAGATGGTTGTCATCGATTCGAAGTTAATGCGATTTGATATTTCTCCTGTAATTGGCTCATTTCTGGGCTCTAATTGGTTCCCGCTCTCTTTGCTGATAAAAGTAATTCGTTTGAATGATATCTTGCCATTTTCTCACTATATGCCTCATGTTCATGGCTTTAAATATTCCTACCCGGATTTGATTGTAAATCGTATAATTTGTGTTTATAAATTTTGATTTTGTGAATATTCATTGTTGACAGTCACTGAAAATAATAAGAAAAGAAAATGGCGAATATATATGCTTTTGATTAGAACTCGGTGCGAAAGGTAAAGAAAATAAGCTTTGGGATACATGTAGGTAAAGTGAGTAATCAAAAGGTCCGGAAAATAGATTGTCTGTCGATTTCTGTTTATCGCTTCCTACCACGAACACATCGTTTACACAAACATCTTGCTATCCACGTCAGATGACATAAATTCTCTCTTTTATCGTCTACCATTTTTTCTTTATTAGCAGTCATAAATCCGGAACTCTATGAATTATTGTTATTCCTTCGATTTCCGTTCGGTACATCAGCTATTTTTACCTTGTTTCTTTGCTTAGTTGTGCTTCATCATCTCACAGAACAATGGACGTGTTTTAATGTGGTCATAAGAAGCACTGCAAAATGTGTACCACATAAAAAATTAAAAGGGTCCCAGATATCTTATATAACTGTATTTTATTACATCGTATCAATCTTTCATGCTATGACACTATTTATACAATCTATACTTTTTGTAATATTAAGTAATACAAATAAACTAAAGTAAATTTATAGTAAATTAAAATTTTACCATATTCATGTACATAGGAAATCAAGTTCGATTTAATCCTTAGTTCTTATTTGAATCTTTTAAAAATAGTCATGCAATTCCACTGTATTTGTCATTTTATAGGATGAGAAAAATCAAGTTCTCGTCACTAATGTCTGGCTTGATCAAGTAAGTCTTCACAAACCAAGAAAATTAATATTGATTTTAAAAAAACATTTAAAATGCTGAAATAAGAGATATGTGAACCGAAAAATCGGGCTTCTAATACGATTTTCTTTTGCAGGAATGGGACGACGAATTTTTAAAATGGGATCGAGAAAAGTTTGCTAATATTAGTAAAATTAGAATTCCTTGTCATAAGATTTGGCTTCCTGACATTGTTCTATATAACAAGTAAGTTCTGTCTGTTTTCTCTCCTTGTAGTAGAAAGGAATTCTCAACACATACCTGTATTTACATGTTTGGGTTGGGAGTTGGGGCTTTCGTTGAAATGCCACCCTTTCATTAGAAGGAAAAAGTATTTGCTGCATGTTTTTCTTCTGTGTAGAGGGTTGGCAAAACTTCTAAAGTTGTCACTGTAGTGATACATGTACTTCCCATTTTTAGTTCATCTGAGCTGAAAGCTCAAGTAAGCTTTAATTTCTAATCACAAGTTGTCCGGCGTCCGTCCCTCTGTCTGGACCAGAAAAGATGAAACCCTTATGAAAGCTTCCTAAATGAAAGCTTCCTGAGGTAATATAGATTCTAAATTTCTGAAAGCATGGCCCAAGGGAGGAAGTAGGGTGGGGCAACTATAGGGGATGGAAATTAAACATTGAAACATGATAAAATAGTTAAAAATCTTTTTCTTGAGAATACATATTCTGAATAATACAAATTATGGCCCTTGGGATAGGGTGGGGTCACAATATGAGATCAAAGATTTACATTGGAATATCTAGGGAAAATCTTTTGAAAATCTTCTCAAGAATAACATGGTCATGATTATTCATATTAATATGGAAGCATCCTCAGATTGAAGTTTGTTCAAATCATGGCTCCTGGGGGTAGGGTGGGCCCATGCACAATAAGAGATCTGTTCAAAGTTTAATATGGGAATATACGGGGAAAATCTATAAAAATCCTCTAAAAAAGCATGTAGATTCAATATTTTTTTCTTCAAATCATGACCCCCGTGGTACACTTAAGGGTGTCTGTACATCTTCAACAGAATTTTACTGTAATTAGCCCTACCATATAAACGAGGGAAAAAAAAAAGAAAAGACACAAATTTCAATGATTGCATGCAAAAAAGAGACCATTCTCTTCCTGATACTTAATGATAGTTTCTATAAAAAGTAAAGTGTCATTTTCATTCATTGCAATTATCTTTTGTTCGTTTCGTTGATTTTTTAAAGATCGAGAATCTTGAAAAAATGTTAAGTCGTACGTAAATTAGATCTCAAGAAAATTATCTCCCTTGTCTTGAACAACCAATGAATTGAAAATGTTCACATCATGCATTTTCTACCAATCACAGAAGAGAAGATGAGTCTGAAGACTGAAAATACTTCAACTCTGTATGCCGTCTTCCAAGGAAGACGATAAAAATAGAAACCCATATGGAGAAATGCTGTACACTTTATACATGAATTAATGATCACGTGATATTAATTTTTTTTGTGATTTTTCTAAAAATCCCCATGATTTAATTATCAATGTTCTTTTATGAAATAAAAACATATAAATTTGATCATACGTGTAATTTTATCATGTTATATTGACCATCAAGTGTGTAATATTTTCCAAGGTCAATAATTTTCCCCCTGTCGGGGGCTCAATTCACCTTGTCTAAAGTCTGGCCTGATGTGATTTTCAAGTTCAAAAGGAAACGTCTTATCATTTTTAAACTTTTTTTTTTTCAATTGAGAGTACAACTTACATGTATACACACCTTCACGCTCTGAAAGAAAGAACTCAAATATTTCTAAATTTACTTGACAAAAGCGTTCCCAGCTCTTTCATCACACTTTTCTCTATCAAAGTAATGAAGTTTCGCTTCAGATTTTCCCACTAAAAAGGAACGAACAACTTTCCGTCATTTTGTAAACAAGAGTGCATACCGATCCAGGGCACAATAAAAGACAGAATCGTACGAGGAGGAAATGATTCTGTCTTGGGGATATTCTTTATCTCCATATATAATGCATTGGACAGATATTTGTCATTAAATACAATATACCGCTATGCAAATTATCAAAATTTACACCATTTCTCCAAGGGGTTGGGCCCTTAGTACCCCCATTTAGTTGATCGGCCCTTGACTTGTGTATGTAATATTTTATGTTTTGTAGTGCAATTGAGCCCTTATTCATTAATTGTGTTATCTGAATTACATGTAGCACAAAACCACTATCACAGTAAATTAAGAGTAAGCTTAAATAAACATAAAATAAGCGCATCATTATGTATATCAGTGGATCAGTTCCAGACTTAATAAATCGACTAATACATAAACAAGCTTCGTCTCCATGTTACTATTCTCTTATTGAACACGTTTTTAGCGAAAGTATGATGACGTTTATAGAAAGCGATAAAATATTAGCTGAAACCAATTACATTGAATATGTTTCTTCGACGAGATATGAAACGTATTAGATTCAGTTCTTTTCTTGATAGCGTTAAAACGAAAACAATCATTCCTTCTAAAGGAAAATGATCGGGAAAAGCTTCAATGTACATGTATAATTATTCAGATGTATACTCCTTCTCAATTTGTTAACATAAGAAATGGCGCGGAATGTATATAATAGTCAATAACCTAGCTACTGATAAACGAATCAATTTCCCTCCAAAACAAATAAATACGAGTTTTCACTCGAAACACTTATCTAATGCACCAATTAGCATATCCTTCAAAAAAGGGGGTACTTCACTTTCAAATGTGCAAAAATTCTTTAAATTGCAACCCTGGAGAAAACGGTTAATGCACCATGTGTATTTTAAATTTTGTATCTCAAAGTATACAACAGAAAGCGATTTAGTACATTATTGCAGCCCGGAGGACCGGGCTGCTCTATACATATAAGTTTAAGTGTTGGTATATGGGGATTGAGGTGGGAGAAGTTATTCAGAATTAAAGGTTTTCTAAACATTAAAAAGATTGTTAATCAGAATGTTCTTTCCCTTTATAAATTACGAGATACACAATAATTTTACTTCCATAAAGTGAATCTGTAAAAATATATATGTTTTTCATATTTAATATATAAAGTTGCCTATCATTTACTATCGAAAAAAACGACAGGTCCCTTTTTTTTTAAAACATCGAATTTTACTTATCGCATAAAAACGTACTTTACACAGTTCGTGTTTTATAATCTTAAAGTGAAAGACATTTTTGAAAATAGGTGATGCATGTGCCTGGTTTCAAATTATATTTTATGCAGCCAACATTTACTTGAGGAATTGATAAAGTTTAAAAGGGTATCGTTTTTGTTCGATTTTCATCCGACTATAAGTTTTCAAAATAGTCTCTACTATCGTCTCCATCATTTAGACGCATGCCTTTTTCACACATATCGAAGCGGTTTGTTGATCAAGACTTCCATTGTTTACTTTATTTATTTCCCGGGCGACAATTGATGGTTACATCAATATTTTCTTGTATGTCACTATGATATAAGGGAAGCTGTCGAACCATAGCAAACAAATAAGTCCGTAACATAACGTGGTTGCATTTGCCGGATGCTTTCGATTGAATCAACTGTGATGTACCGCGGCCGATCACAACAAAAAAGGCAAAACACTAATACTTGTTTGCCATCTATACATAAAAGTACATACTTGTACATGAAATATATGGAGATAACGATTAGTATTCAAGCTCAAAGTCCATTTAAACAATACAAATTAGGAGCAGAGCAAACACGAACCTCTAAAACATCAGACGTGGGATCAGGTGCCATGGAGGAGTGAGCATCCCCTGGCGACCGATCACACTGAATTGTCTACGGATTTTCCCGTTATTTCCTGATCATGATAAAGAGCACAGGGCGGGTCCTTGTCATGATCGGGAAATAACGGAAAAACCAGTGGACAATTCAGTTTGTAAATAATGGCCTACCAATTAGTATGAAAAACGTCAGTCAGCATTTGACTTAATGATAGATTCTATTTGCTGAGGTCATTGTATCGACCATAGAACTTACAAAATGATGACTTTAAACGAGACTGTTGATATTCTTGTTTCCTCAACTTGTTTATCAATAACTTCCTCGTTTTAGAAAATGTTCATACGTAAACCATGCTCTATGTGTGTTCTTTAATCAACAAATATGAGTATCAAGCTATCACGTAATTTTTTATGCTTGCATTAATATTTATTGTTTCATTTAGTGCGGCTGAGTACACAGATGGAGTCATGTCTGCAAATGCAATGGTAGAAAACAATGGTAATGTTTTCTGGCCAGTACCCACCAAACTTCAAAGCTCTTGTAAAGTGGACGTGACTTACTTTCCTTTCGATGACCAGATCTGTAAAATGAAATTTGGATCATGGACATACGACGGCTTTCAAGTGGACATAACAAATAGGTCACAGGAAGTGGACCTTACTAACTACGTTGTGAACGGTGAATGGGTTCTCATCAATGTCAAAGTTCAAAGAAACGTTGTTCAATATACATGCTGCCCAGAACCATTTCCGGATGTGACGTTTTTTGTTCATATTCGACGTAGAACCCTTTATTATATGTATAACGTCATCTTTCCGTGTATAATGATGTCAGCTCTTACCCTGCTGGTCTTTTGCCTCCCACCGGATTCTGGGGAAAAGATAGCACTGGGGATCACCGTTCTACTCGCCTTTTCTGTCTTTATGCTTGCGGTGGCAGAAAATTTACCGGAAACTTCCGAGTTCGTTCCACTTATCAGTAAGTCATATAAGTTGCTTTTACATTAGATTAAATTTGTTTAAGTTATATGTCTCTGACATTTTTCTCCATTTTTTAGCTTCTTCGTAGTATCTTGTAGATATGCATATTATGTTCACAAAACATGGAAACGTTCTGAGACTTAAGGAATGTATAAAACAAGCATTCATAGTACAGTGTTTAATTACTATGCACATATTTTTTTCGAAATTATTGCAACTACTAAGAGGATACCCAATGTTCATTTTTCATTGATCCCCGAGTCATATACATGTATGCTACTGGGTATTCATTATCGGCTATTTAAGGAAGATCGTCAAAAAGCGCAATATTGTTCTGGAATCAGTCATCTGGCATCGTTTTTGTAAGTTGGGAGGTCAGTCAGAAAAATAATTGATAACTTACCTGAAAAGTTATGGACAAGGAAAAAAACACGAAAAAAGTTTTAAATATTCTATTTTGTGTGTTTGGGGATGGGGGTTGTCGAAAAGGAAAAAAAATTAAGATACATTACCATGGAAAAATTCGACTGGGCTGCAACAAAATGTTCCTCCCCTGATACATGTACATGTATTGTGTACCTGGGAATGTAGAAAACCATTCCTGATTATATGTACTTTGCAGTACATATATCAAAATGTGATGAAGTAAAAGATAAGAAAGAGGGAGAGAAAGGGACATTCTAAGTTTTAAGTTCTGATTGACAGAATTTGTCCATTTGTAGATATTTTTATGAGTTCTATGTTATGAATCATCTCGTCGTTATTGGGGTTTTTGTCCTTTGGCAAGGGCATTGATACGTCTATTTATGATTTTTTCCTGGACATTCTCGAGGAGGACCCGGATACCCTCTGGGAATTCCGGCTTATTTTGCAGCCCTATAAGTCAAATGATATCAATACAATATACTCGATCTTAATTCAGGAAGCATTAGTGAGGCCTGTTGGTCGTCAGAACTTTTTACACCATACATCATTTTCCTCTTCAAATTGATCATAAACAATATTTACTTAGTGCAATACCGATATACAAGTACACGATTACGTGATTGCATGAATCATAAAAACGCATATTTTTCTGTAAAAGATTATAAAACGTTGGTCCCAAATACTTTTGCTTGCACTTATATGATTATGCATGAACATTGTACAATGTACTTGACTGCTAGTTCTAAACGATAGTGATCTAGAAATCTTAAATTTCGGATGCACTGAAATAAACAAAAAGCTTTTACAATGTAACCTTTTATGAGAAAGACATTAAACCCCGTCTCTGTGAAAGTATTGACTACAACAAACGCATAGATGACCGGAATAACAATTTGTAAATTTATCACATAGCTAGCATGTCCCTTAATACAATAAGTCATGTTTAAAATGATAGAATCTGGACATCGTGTTGTTCAATTGTAATTCTCTTTGCCGTGGAAGGAATACAAATGATCAGGTTTATATTGCCAGCTTCACATTGGGAGAAATAAATAAGCCCTAAGGGACAATATAAGAGAAAGGGGATGCTGAAATGAATTACAAACAATCCCCACCCTTAATTAATGAATCTGAGAATCTTACTTTATAAATATTTGTTAAAACTTTGCTAAATTCTTCGTAGAAATTTTTCATACCCTCATTTTAAGCTCTACTGGTAAAAGACCAGACGAGCTTATGCGATGGTGAGATGGAAACTACATGTACATGTATCCATTGCTTAATATTTCATTTTTATGTCGATTAATCTTTTCTATTTTAACTGAAAGGAATTGCTGAAGCTCATTCACGGTCAAGTAAGATTTTTTGTGTCTGTGCAGTACATACGTGGTAACCAGACAGGCATTGCACTATCTACAAGATATGAAATAATGTTTAATATGTCTCTCACTATTCCTACTACAAGCAGCTCACCGCAGCTTTGTTTTCCTCCCAATTTTATTTCAAATACGACAGGACAATTATATGTGACAATGAAAATATCATTTATTCAATACAGTAAATGACGAAAAAAAAAGTTTTACCAAAAAAAGGGGGGGGGGGATCGGCAAATACCAAACAGTTTGAACATATAGATATATACATTTTACACCGCACTATCTTCAGAAAGCTCAGGTATAATCGTTATCTTGGTCCGTCCGTCACGCTATCTTCGATTCTTCCTCAGACTCCTTAATTATATATAATTTCAGTTACTGTAGCTAATTCATAATTTGGAATATATGATAGGTAGTGTTCTTTAAGATGCGCAATAAGGATTTAAAATTTTCATTTTCACCCTAGAGGCAATTTGGGAGTCGAAACACGACGTTTATTCTAAAACATCTTCCTCAAACTTCTTAATTTTATTGCCAATCTTTAATTTTAAATTGGTAATGGATTTATTCTATGAAATACTAACATAAGAAGGATATAGGTCACATGCTCATACGATTATTTTAATGATCAGTTTGATACATGTATATTAATGTAAATTATGAAATAACTATAATTGTAATATTCGCATCTTCTAAAGAAGGTTCGATTATATTGTTATTACCCGGACCAATCCATCAGTCGCATTAATATTTTCTTTTCGCCCTAGGGGTCAATTTGGGTCGAAGGACGACGTTTTTCTTCAAAATCTTCTTCCTCAAACTCCTCTTAAATTTTACGTAGTTGTCAATTCTTTATTAATATTTTTTGGTAATATCCTGTAAATATGCAATAGTTTCGTTTTCGCTTTCGGGCAAAATAGGGGTGGACCAAAAACGAACGACGCTTTTCTTTAAAAACGTTGTTCTAAGAATTCCTTTTTTAATAGCGATTCTCTGTAACCACTTAAACTTCTTTGCCACGCATGGTCACCGATTTTGATGAAACTTTGCCCATTATTACAACTTGACACCAGAAACATATATCAAATAAAATTTCGTTGCTATGTGTCTTGGTTGTCATGGTAACAGCCAGAAAATTTGAAAAAATTGAGATTTTCAGCTACTTCAAATCTTTATTAAGCCTTAATAAGGACTAAGAAAAACAAACAAATCATTCTCCCAAAAACATGACACCTTGTTGCCACTTATGCTATAAGGAAACTATTTAGAATTTATCTCTAAGTAAGTGGTAACCATGGGTACATTTGGAATACATTTTAGATGCTGAAAAATGCTGAAAAACGCTCAATATTCACAAATGATAGATGTTACATGATCAAACTCAATCAACAACCTAAGAAAAACAATGAAAAATATTTGACCTTATGTTATTAGGTATTGGCAATATTATTCTAAAAATAACTTTCATGGTTGCCATGGTAACACAGTGTCACCATGCAAAATCTGTTGCTATGATTGGGTTAATGCTACTGTCTTGAGGAAAAACAATAAGATTCATGACTGGCACATGTACATCCTTAGGACCTTGTAACACCGACAACATAAGAAAAATTGAGATTAATTGTTACTTTGCAGTGTAACCATGGAAACAATGTACTTGTTGTTTAAAGTGATATTTTTTTGCTGCTTTAGGAATTTACTTACCTTTTAATCGAGAAACTTTTTATTTGACTCATCTTGAATAGTACTTATCTGGCAGAACTAAAGTTGAATATCATATATTGATAAAGTTTGTTGAAAAATACAACACTGTTGCTATGGTTACCAAGAAGAGAAAATGTTCGATTTTGTTAATTTTATGTCAATATTAGAACCTTTATGCCAGTTTTTTGCATCCAGTTAGAGATTGGGTGGTAGTCAAAATTGAAAGTCGGGTTAGTTTTTCACATATATCAATCATTAAAGTTTTGGGAATCTACATACAAAGGGTATGTATTCAAGGAAACAGAGTATTTTTCAGATTTTTATGCATGTTTTTTCGCCTTATTTCCATAGCAACGCACTATCTAAAGAATTGAAATTAAATGTTTTGAAATGTGAAAATTAGGGTCACACCAACGCCTTTAAAAATCGATCATCAGTTATATAAAAATATGCTTTTAAAAAAGATAGGATAAGATTAAAACACTAAGAGAGTAAATTCAAAATCACTTCGTGGTATTAAAACCATGGCAACCATTGCCAACCTATAAGAAATATCATATTTCGTCCTTGATATATGTTACAAAGATCTCTTTTCTATTGTTTGCTTGCATTTCAACCTATAATTGTTTTTATTTTTAAGTGTATGACTTTATAAAATTAAATAAACAAAATTATTACTTTTGAATACTTTGTTTCCATAGTAACGTATGTTATAGTTGATTTACCAAACATGTTTATCATGCATTTAAGACACCAGGCCTTCAACTTTCAGAAACAGTCATTGCTACTTGTTTGCTTTGCTGCAAACGTCAACTGTGGGACTCTGAACATGTTGAAAAATGCAATTTTTCAAACTTTAGGACATGTTGCTATGGTAACCATGACACGTAGCAACCAATTTTTGCCTGATTTGAGTTTACGGTATCAAAGACTTTTATTATAGAGAGTTTGGAGAAATTCTGAGACTATGCGTGCCACAGCTTCTATATAAAAGTTCAAGTCATTACAGAGAATGGCTCTTAAAGTGTGATGTAGCCAATTTATATTTTGTAATATGACTGTTAATGCCCTGTAAATGTGCAATAGGGTTTTGGAGTTTTCTTTTCCGTCAAGGAGGCTAACTTGGTGCCGATATCAAAAATAAAATTTAAAATTTATTTTTCATATATAAGTTTCTAAAAATCCTTTTTAAAAAAAACACACAGAATTTTTGCTTCATTAAACTCTTTAGTTTCAGACTAGTAATTGAATTATTGCATTAAATACTAACATAATGTAAGAGGCTCATGGGTCACATGCTTACTCGAGCATTTTATGCTCAATTTGACGCATGTACAAATGTATATTGTATATTATGAAATATTCATTAGCTACCCAATGCAAAGGAGGCACACATTACGGCCTTGTGTCAGCATTTAGTTCAAAACTGAACATTCTTAGAAATGTACATTAACGGAATAATGCTCAGAAATTGTACGTGGCATCGCGAGGGTAAACTGCGTCGCTGTAATATGGGGACACTGACGCTCTATATAATCAAGCAATAGTTTACTCTGTATCCATGTGTTACAGTTCAATCTGTGACCAGATTTTATGTATGCAAAAGCAAGGGAAAATATTAAACGGTTCAGAATGCCTAATTTTATAAATAACGTATTTTTAAAAAATTAACTCAGGTTATGTAATAATATGTGATGAAAGATTGTTCGATGAATTTTGCTGGATATGGGAAGGGTATCCCCTTTACAATTAATCTCTAAACGTCGTTTCTTTCAATTTTAGGTATCTATCTCACTATCGTCATGTCTTTGACATCAGTTTCTGTAATAATGACAGTATTCGTGCTAAATCTCCATCACAGAGGACCAAATAGGCACCCAGTGCCGGTGTGGTTACGTAATTTTCTTCTTGGGCCACTTCATGATATTTTATGCATGGGGAAAAGTAATGGATTACCGACACTAAACCAGGAACAAAATCATCGAATTTTAAGAACAATGTCTTTAAGAGCAACATTAGAAAATATTGCTCAGGAACTTCAGAATGAAGCTCAATTAGAAAATGGCGGAATGGCGGACACAGTTATTACGGATGGGCAGGGAACAACGCTCCATAATGACATAAGGTGTGATGTCAGACTATTGCCAAATGAAACGCATCAAAGACCAAAAAGAGGAATCCAAGTCAAAAATTTGCATACAAAATCGCACGAAGAGATTGTTAAAAATTTACAGGTTATTTTGGACAAGCATGAAAAGGAAGATCAAGATTTTCAAATTATTCAGGAATGGAGAAAAGTAGCGCAGGTCGTGGATCGCATCTTATTTTGGATTTTTCTTTTCGGAACATTAAGTTCAACTATTATAGTTCTGGTTATTACCCCAGCAGCGAAATGAGTGTTCTCTGTTGTCTTCTTTTGTTACATCTATCAAACTTTAAAGTTGAACAAATACATCAAATTTTTGTATCATCTTCATTCTATTTTCCCATTTTTCACGTTTGTTTTATAAGTGAAAACATGTTTCAATATTTGTACATGTATATATGTAAATTTATCATTTACGACTACGCAGCAGTTTTGTTAGAAAATAATTGTTTTTTTTTTCATTTTTTCTGACAGAATTAAAGAATGTAAATTATTATGCGATATTTTTAAATACTATAGTATGAATATTTGTACACTCAAAACTTGAGAAGCAAGCCCGCCTTCAGTTTCAATTTGAAGATCGGTGTAATTTTCTATTTTTTTTTTAAAGATGCTGGGTTATAAGATGAACATTTTTTTCATACATCAGTAATCATATCCTACCTTATTTTGCTAAATCAGCAGTCATTTATTGGAAGGCAAATTCCATTTGAACCATATTGTTTATTCTTTTTTGATGCCATATATCAAAAGCTACTACAATACATTATTTTGATATGTAATATTTTATCCTTTTAAAGAACTTCTAATGACGCTGTAAGAAGTTTCTTTTAGATCAATAGAACTAATTTTATTTTCTATATGTATGTCAGTCTCTTTCTTCAGTTTCTCGGAGACTGATAGGTATACCGGCGTGAATTCTATCGCTATGGAGAAATTTTAGAACAGTAATGTGGATCAATTCATTACACAGCTGAACAATTCATCATGATATTGAATGGCCGGTGGGTCATTACTGATCAGAAAAATGATTAATTAAAACATTATTTCCGGTATATTCCAATCAATACGGACATCGTCAGATACAAATTCTTAAAAGCAGTTGAACGCTAGAATTCTTGATATGGCATCCTATGATTTCTTTTTTGTTTTTGAGTTTTGAAAATGATCTCTAGTTTTTTGAGCGGTTGAAAATGTCAAGTTTATGCTCTTTTCAGTCTTTGAAATTAATTATATTGAACATACTTTCGCTTCACAGTCTCTGAAGTTATATTCAGTACACTGAACCTTTATAAGGACTGCAAGTCTATAAGGCCATTTTTAAAATAATATTTGTTTACCCTTTCCCGACTCGGGGTAAAAAATTGGGTCGGTAGGTAGATTGGGAATTTTTTTCTCTAGAAAATTTCAACATATATCAAGATGAAAAAATACAGGAATAGAAAGGGAAAAAATATCGTTTCAAAGATGTTAAAAAAAGGTTTGAGCCCGGCCATTTGTGGCCAGTCGGTCGTGAGAAGGCAAACAAACAATTTTTTAAAGATGGTATAATCTATCGAGATTAACTCCATCGTTGGAGGAATCTTTGGGATTATGCTTTTTATAATTATTTTTTTATATTTCGTTTAGACATGATTGTCTCTTTTCTTTAAAGTTTAAACTTTGAAGCTTAGAAGTTAAAAGAAAAAAAAATCATTTTGAATTTCATGAAATAGTGCGCCCTAGATTGGTCAAGTGGATTCTTAAAAATGTACAACCATGATGCTCTGTATGATAATAGTATGTGAGACAACTATTTATTTTAAATGAATGTATTAATATATTGTACATATATCATTATAAAACACCCACATAAAGAAACACAGATTTTTTCATAATTAAAAAAAAATATCGTTATTTTTCTATATCTTGCACGTTATTTCTTGACGTCAGAGAAGAAAGGGGTCGAACCAATTGTTGAAAAAAACGATTATAAAGTATAATCTGATACTATAATTTGATACTCTAACATCTGTATCAACAATTCAAACGACAGTAAGAGGATAGTGCATGAAAGGGTCACCAGACTGAGAGGTAATTGAAGAACAATGATAAACATGGTCAAGAAGGTCGATAAAAATCGTTAACTCATGTCGCATGTCTTAAAGGAGAAAAGGCAGCTCCTATCTCAACATCAAATTTAATGATTTTCTATTGTAATCGATTGCCACATCTGATTTTAATTATTCTTTATTCACTGTAAATGTTTTTTTTTTCATTAAAAGAAGGGGGAGGATAATCTGAATAATCAGATCCAAAATAGGGATCGCCATATCTCTGATGTGAAGGAATGAAACCTCAGTCACCTATTATAATACATGTAAATAATTTTAAATTGGAAGCTATGATGAGTCGTGGAATAAAACATTACTCAAAATGCAGAGTTACACAGTAAAATGTGTAATTTCTATATAAGATTAAAGTCTTCCTGTTATATAATGCAGTCAAGTTTACTACTTGTAGACGGTTTGTGGTTAATACACTGTGAATATGAAGTTTGTAAGTCTAAAATTTATAAACCCTCTATTCACTCATAATTTTTTTCTTTAACGCATATGATTTTCCAAAAGAAAGTTATTTTTAAAAAGTGCGTTTTATAAATGGAATGCAAACAATTTTCGCATATTTTGTCCAAATGACATTTCAACTTGACAAATACTTAGTATATAAAGGAATAACAGACATTTATACCTTAAGGACGGATTCTTGTCTGGTTTCTGACTAGACGAAACATTCAAAGTATATTTGCTTATAAGTCTTATATATTTAGATGTAAGAGATTTAAAAGATCATACTTTTCTTTCCTCAACATGATTGTACAACTTTAAATAAAAATGGTAAATTGAGTTTGAAATCTAGCAGGGACTATATTTTTGGCGGAACGGCGGCGTATGAAAACTTCTCCTTTTCTGCTTCTCAAAATTACTTTAGAACAATGAATTTCGTTAACATTTTTAAACAATCGAAGACTTCAAGAAAATTTCAAATGTAAGTGAAATTAATAATAATGGACTGAAGTTTTAAAATATATCAAATAAATATGATTTCCCAAACAAACTACAATTTTGTTGACTTTTAAAAGCTTCCAATCTAGGTACAGATTTGAGCAAAAAATTCGTAAAATGCTTTTTTCTCTCTTAGTAAATGGTCAAAACTTTTTTTCTGTATCAATTTGTATCTTTATATGACTTCTTTACCATATGTGAAAATAAGAAAAATGTAAATATACGAAGCATATAAAAATAACTAATATATCCCAAAAATTTCAGAAAAATAGAGGAAATTCGGATTAGCCAATATCTATTCTAGTTAAATTATTAATGTCAATTTGGTAGTATTATTTGATAGACCCTATATGGTAATATCTTTTTATGCGAAAAGAAAAACATTTAATCTTTTGAAATAGAAGTAGGCATCGCATGATTGGCAACAGTAGTTTTTTATTCTTACAATCAAGGAAAAAGATAATGACCTTGACCTGACCTTACTTTTAAAATAAAACGGTCAAATTTAATCTAATTGATACCATCACTTAATGATAATGTCTTCTTGAATCTATGAAAATTTCATTAATTTTTAAATACTAGAAATATGAGAAGAATCCCTCCTTAAAGAGTTACCACTCTTGAATCAAAGTTACTATTCTATTATCGAGGCTTTCGAATAAAGAAGGCTGCTACAGATAGAAATTGTAATTGGGTCTGGAATGAAGGAACACAAACAAATCTATTTTGTCCGTAATTTATATAAAATTCAATATAAACCTTGTCCCTTTTCTGTGGCTCCATCCTATCCACAGGGACCAAGATCTGAACAAACTTAAATCTACACTATGTTAGAAAGATATCATATAAGATTCAACGATCTGACCGAGTGGTTCTCGAGAACAAGATTTTTAAAATGACAACACCTTATTTTTGCCTTTTCTTGATTATCTCCACTTGAAAAAAAGCACTGCCCTTCATTTGAATAAACTTGAGTCCCATTCACCCAAGGATACTTTTTGGGAAGTTTGATTGAAATCGGTTTATTGGTTGTTGAGAAGTTGAAAATGTGAAAAGTTTACAAACGACGTACACCCGCAAGACGACGGACGAAAACGATAGGTGAGCAAAGGTCACCTAAGTGACTCAGTGACCTAAAATACTACTTTATATTCATCTGCACATGACCTTCCATGTGAACATAAGAATCTTTTTTTCTACATTGGACTAAAAATAGATTAAGAACTTCTGAATTTATACAATTAGCTATAAAAAGTTATTTCAGTTGCTTCCACTCAGGTGAACAATCAGGCACGTAACATTGGAAGGGGCAGGGGGCTTGCCCTTCCCCTTCCCTTTTTTCTCTGAATGTAAATTTTTACTATGAATTTTGTATGAAAATGTTAATTGAAAGGCTGGTTGAAACACCCCCCATCTTTTTTTATCCAGTATTATAATAGTCAAATCCCTCCTAAGATCATGGACACTAAAACCCCTGAATAATATTTTGGAGTTTAAAAGAATTCTCTTTTTTTTTTTTAGCTTGTCAAAGATATTTTCAAATAAGTTGTCAATTCCTTCCACTTTCTTGAAAAAAAAATTAAATTCCAAATCAATACCACTAGTTATGTCTGTTTTAACAGTGCCTTTCTCATTGCGTTTAGCTACATCTGTAGCTATAGGACTTCAACAAATAAAAACAATCAAGAAAGATAGCATGCATGGTGACTGTGCTTCACGTGTTTGTATCATTTAATCAAAAAATAATAAAACAGTTATTGCTATTCAGGCGATTGACTGATAAAAACAGAAATACTTGACAAGTTATTTTGTTATGGTTACTAGAACCATCATTGTTTAGAATGCTGCTTATACTAAGACATTTAGAAAATCACGTTGTTTTTGCTGGAGTACACACTACAGTTACTAAGTATCTAGTAAATTATAAATGATAGTGACTAAAAATCATTGCTAGAAAATTTAAGTCAATGTGTTTCTTTTGAAGGAGGCGGTTGTTTAACTTTGCTAAAGAATGTTTGTTCTATTGAATAACAATTATTGCCATCTGTTAACAATGTCTTGAGATGATATGCTTTTTAATGAATCAAAACATTGATTAAATCTGTCAAGCCCTCGCCGATATTACGGTATATTTTAAAACTAATTCTCTGCATCAACATTCTTTACGTAAAAGCCCAATGCATGCTTTGTCACGCAAATTTTAAGATGAAATCTGTTAGGACATTAATGTCATAATTAACAAAAAATGTAATTGAAAAAGTCTCATCCAAAATCTGATAATTCATAAAAATGTAATTAAAAAAATCGGATAAAATGAACCTTTTTACGCATTCTAGCAAGTATAAAATCTAATTTATAAATAAACAAATACTGGTTATTTTTCTTTATTTTAACACGATAATATAAGTAGTTCCACTCAATACCAGTAATCAACTGAATTTTTTCCTGCACTTGAAAATGAATAATCTATACTCTTTTAAACAACATTAAATGAATGCCTGCATGTACAAGTATCATCCTTTAAAATAATTCAATCATATAGTTAAGCATTATAAAATATTTTGGTAAAAAAGAAAAACGCATATAAATGAAATCGTGAACATTACAGAATGCTGTCTAAGCCACGGCCGATTTTTTTTTCTCGTCATCACAATCTGGGGCTCTGCAGCTGAAGGCAGGAACAGGAGTTGTCATGGATTTCTCGGAGACGATACACGTCGGGACTATTTTCATACTTCAGAAAAAAAAAACGCATTTTTCCTGAAGAAGTTTTTGATAATTCCAAGATCAAGCTAAACCATCTCTACATCTCTTTGAAATTCAAACTTCCCAAGTCAAGGGTTTCTGCATGATCCGCTCCGCTCCACAAGCGGAGTGGATCAGAAACTCTTGTCTTGGGAAGATGTGGAGCGGAGTGGATCGGAAACCCTTGTCTCGAAAGATGCTCTCCGGATTAAACTGATTAAACATGTTCAACTTGTTTTTTCTGGAATAACTTGGAATTCCCATTTCTGACGTCTGTTCGATCTGTCACAGGTGTTCATAATAAGATGTAAACCAGTTTCCGATACTTCCAAACATAAAGCTGTTGCAGCATGTTTAAGGGCCTGAAACTACAGAAAAAATATCTAAAAATAAAGTCTGGTCTTCTCACGACCAAATAATAATCTGACTGAGACCAAAAACCAGAAGTCTCTGATGAGACTGTAGCTCTCCTGGTTTGTACTTATAACAAAGGAGGATAAAAGTATCACTTGGACTTGAAACTTTGCAACAGCAATAAATAGAATAATGATCCTTGGTTTAGTCTCTTTTTGTGGCAAGATTTATTGCAATCATCAAAACTGTATGAGGAATAGCCTTTTAAAAGAATTTTACAGAAATTTAGATTTAGTAACCATGGCAACATAATTCAACAAAATAAAAAAAAAGTATCTTAGTGTAGTCAACTTGTGTGCCAATTTATACTGAAATCAGATCCAAAACTGTAGGAGGAGTAACATTTTGGAAGTATTTCAAGGAAATTTATATTTTTAGTAACCATGGCAACACCGTTCATCGAAATCAAAAACCGATATAAAGAATTATATATCTTAGTGTTGTCTACTTGTGTGCTAAATTATACTGAAATAAAACCAAAACTGTAGGATGAGTAGGGTTCTGAAAGAATTTGATAGAAATTTTTATTTTAGTAACCATAGCAACACCGTTCATCGAAATCAAAAATCGATATATAGTCTAATGTATCTTAGTGTATTCTACTTGTGTACCAAATTATATTGAAATCAGATTAAACTATAGGAGGAGTGGCGTTTTGAAAACATTTCCCAGAAATCTCTATTTTTAGTCACCATAGCAACCCCGTTCGTCGAAATCAAAAAATCGATACACAGAATTATGTATCTTAGTGTTGTCTACTTGTGTGCCAAGTTATTTTGAAATCAGACCAAAACTGTAAGAGGAGTAGCGTATTGAAAGTACTTCCCAAAAATCTCTATTTTTTGTAACCGTGGCAACACCGTTCATCGAAATCAAAAACCGATATACAGAATTTGTATCTCAGTGTAATCTACTTGTGTGCCAAGTTATATTGAAATCAGACTAAAACTGTAGGAGGAGTAGCATTTTGAAAAATTGTTTACAGACAGACGGACAGCTACACAGCTGGACGGACGGACGACGGACACCTTACTTTCGCATAAGCTCTTCTGGTCTCTGACCAGTAGAGCTAAAAATGAAATTGCAGTAAACTAGTCGAGAGAGTTCACGACTGATCGCAGAGGTCTTGGTTGATCGCATGAGCAGAACAGTTTTTGAACAACGTGGACGAGGCCTTTGATCATGCTAAAAACTTTGGACTGGTTAGAGATTGGGTCGAAGAGACTGATGAACAATCGACTGCACAGGCACGCTAATTATGTATAATTGCAAGTCGATTAGTTGTACGATTCATCGTAACTCTATCGAAAGAATCGCCAACAGGCGCACGTTTAAGAAATTGTGCGATCCGGCGAAGTTTCTTTCAACAATATGATATCTGTACAGTTTCGCGTGCTAAAGCACTCTCGTCTTTTGAGTTATAATTCCGTTTAACTACAATGTTTGTCTAAATGACTCTGTCCATTGACACAATAACCTCAAAATTAAAAAGGTCAACTTCATGTTATATTTTTATTAAAATTTACTAAAACCAGAAGTCTCTGTTGAGATTGTAGCTCTACTGGTTTGTACTTATAACAAAGGAAGAGAAAAGTAGCACTCGGACTTGAAACAGCAATAAATAAATAATAATCCTTGTTTTACTCTCTTTTTGTTGCAAGATGAATTGCAATCAGACTAAAACTGTAGAAAGAGTAGCCTTTTTAAAGAATTTTAGAGAAATTTTGATTCTAGTTACCATGGCAACATCATTCATCAAAATCAAAAAAAAAAAAATAAAGACTATAATTATGTATCTCAGCGTAGTCTACTTGCATGCCATGTTATATTAAAATCAGACCAAACTGTAGGCGAAGTAAATTTTGTTTGTTTGTTGTTTAACCGTCCCTCTCAATAATTTTTCACTCCTATGGAGACGCCACCACTTGCCGGTAGAGAGCTGCAAATTTTGACCTATGCTCGGCACTCAGGGCCATTGAACAGTAAGAGATCTTTTTCGTGCCAGCACCTACTGCGACATGGGACCATGGTTTAAACGGTCTCATCCGAAGGACCGGTCTCCATGTCCCACAGTGGGATTCGAACCTGCGATGTAAGGATCAACTCCTTACTCTGCGACTCTAAAGCAAACGTTCTACCACTGCGCCACGCGGGTGACAAGTTATGTTTTGAAAGTATGTCAAAGAAATTTCAGCTTTTTTGTAACCATGGCAACACTTCATCAAAATCAAAAAATGGATATATAGAATTATGTATCTCACTGCAATCTACTTGTGTGCCAAGTTATATTGAAATCAGACCAAAACTGTAGGAGGAGTAGCATTTTGAAAGTATTTCACAGAAAGTTCTATTTCAGTAACCATGGCAACACTGTTCATCGAAATCAAAAACTGATATAGAGAATTATGAATCTTAGTGTGGTGTACTTGTGTGCCAAGTTATATTGAAATCAAACCAAAACTGTAGGAGAAGTAGCATTTTGAAAGTATTTCACAGAAATTTCTATTTTTAGTAACCTTGGCAACATCGTTCACCGAAATTAAAAAACAAATATACAGAATTATGTATCTTAGTGTAGTGTACTTGTGTGCCAAGTTATATTGAAATCAGACCAAAACTGTAGGAGGAGTAGCATTTTGAAAGTATTTCACAGAAATTTCTATTTTAGTAACCATGGCAACACTGTTCATCGAAATCAAAAACTAATATACAGGATCATGAATCTTAGTGTAGTGCACTTGTGTGCCAAGTTATATTGAAATCAGACCAAAACTGTAGGAGGAGTAGCATTTTGAAAGTATTTCACAGAAATTTCTATTTTAGTAACCATGGCAACACTGTTCATCGAAATCAAAAACTAATACACAGAATCATGAATCTTAGTGTAGTGCACTTGTGTGCCAAGTTATATTGATATCAGACCAAAAATGTAGGAGGAGTAGCATTTTGAAAGTATTTCACAGAAATTTCTATTTTTAGTAACCATGGCAACATCGTTCATCGAAATCAAAAACCGATACACAGAATCATGTATCTTAGAGTAGTGTACTTGTGTGCCAAGTTATATTGAAATCAGACCAAAACTGTAGGAGGAGTAGCATTTTGAAAAATTGTTTACAGACAGACAGACGGACAGACAGCTAGACAGACAACTTACTAGACCAGTAGAGCTAATTAAAACCAGGTATTATTGGATGTACATGTAAGTACATGTATTTCCTCCAGGAAAAAAAAAAATAGAATAATTTAAAATACATGTATATTCTTTGAATTTGCCTGCTAATGTGAATGTTGTTTAAAGAGAAATCGTTTCATGTCTTCCGCCAGATTTTAATAATTAAAACAAAGTTATATATATACAACGTAATGCTTATATAAAATCTGTATTTTAAATGATATTTCTTCTTCTACAGATGTACATCATGAACTGATCTATGTACATCTCCAAATGAACGTATTTCTTTTTGACACCTCAAAATCTATGGTTATACAAGTACTTCACGGGTTTCTGAATTGTTACCTCGTATGACCAATGTGTGACGGAAATGTTTCTAACTTCCTGACAACTTTGCAAATAGGGTACGTAGTCCAGGCCATCTAGTATCACCACAACACACTGTAGAACTGTCCGTAGCTGACCACTACTTGTAATAGCAAACACCTGGAACAAACACCTGTCTATGTACACTAGAATTTCATATTTCATTCTGTGATAAACAGTTTGATGTATGAGCAATAAAACCTTGAGCAATACTAAAGTAACAGTATACTGTTAGTTATCCATTCAGCTTACAATCTCCATACACTGGGAGTCGGGCACATAAAAAAACAACCCCTTTTATATGTAATGGTAGTACATGTATGTAATAAAATGCACCATGTAATTTTTTCTTAGCCAATTTGAATTATAAGCTCTATGATATTAAACTTAGATAACGCTTGTACATGTACCATGCTCATGGTATTTCATTTTAATACTTGTTTTATATACACTGTATATGTATATGAATATTGTTAAGTTCGTTATTCTTTTCACATTGTGCCGATTATGTGTGCGTGTTTATGATTTATACATTCCTTATGGTACGCGTATGTCATGTCAAAAACAAGAACTATGTACCCAAGTGCAACATTTAGACCGCAAATCCGATTTTCTGCAAAATTCATGTACATGCTTTTTAAAGAAAACAGAATTCCGTGCAAGCCGTATTCATATCCTTTGCGATATTTTAAACGTTGACTTTATGAGAACAAATTTATAACTTTGAACTAGGTGATAGCAATTGTGTCCTGCTACCCTACACAATACTCTTTTTTAATACCTTTTTTTTTTTACACTTAATTTCATCAATCTCTGCCTATCTGTGTGTTACGTTTTCACCCATGTATTCCTGTCTGTCTGCAAGTTTTGAAATGATTTTAATGACATTTCAGGAATAAGGTATACTTTGGATGTAACTGGGAAAAAATGATTATTTCGCAATTTTGTTGCTCATATTGAGATTTCTTTCCGTTTTATTCTCCTTTCACCAAATTACCGCATGAAATCTCGGTTCCAGACTAGGTGCATGCAGTGAACATTAGATCTGCATCTGGTCAAAATTTGGAGGCAAGATTTTTTTCCCGATATTTGGAAAATCTGAATCCGATTAAACCAATGACTATATACACATGTATACAAACAGATGTGTCTTGTTTGCAAAAGACTTTCATAAAGATAATTTGCGATTAAAAAGTTAGACGAACATATACACTTTATTAAACCTATTTAACTACGGCAATCGATCTCTACATAAGAGGGTGTTGCAGAAACTCGAGATTATTCCCTATATCGAGAAGGACATTTAGGGTATATTCGATTAAGCGACACGAGTTACACGAGTTACTAGCGTTGTGAATAAAACAAGACATCTTTGACACGGGTGACCAACCCGTGTTACGCGAGTATACTCCTCAGTTTACCTGGAGTAAAAGGTGAAGACGCAGTGTAAATGTGAAAAATGTCTCTGCATAAATTTGTCAGTGTTTGTATCAGAAATTACAACGTCCATGAAAAAAGTCTACAACATTATTTTGACATCTTTTTTTCCTTTTTTAGTTTTCAGATCAACTCATCAATTTACTATTGTGTTATCATCGACAGATTTTATTTCATTTTTAAAAAAAAGAAGTTTATCTTTCTTTTTTTGTTTTGACTATGCCTAATTGTTGGATTAATCTTTATAAAAATGTCTATGTATATTGATCAATAAGATTATTCCTATAGATTTAAAGGTGCTTAGACACAGATTTGAACTTAATATTTTCTCAAATTTTCTGTATGATATCACGACTTATATATTGCAATAGCATTTCACACGAAAATATAATTAAAAACTTATTTTATCTGGAAATTATTATTAATAAACAGACTCCAATGTGAGAGCAATGGCAGTTACATGTGCATGTTATAATCTTATAAATATGGATGTCGCATCCCCAGAACCAGCTGCATGGTTTGTTGTTTATAATAAATATACACTTATAAAGGTTATACCTATATGGAAATTACCTTTTCAGGGGGACAGCCTTCAATCACAATCATAATACTGTACCATTAATACATACGTAATTTTTTTAAATTTAAAAGATAAATTTAGTTAAAATATTCAACATAATTTTTAAAGATTCAAAGTTAAAAGCCACAGCCATGAAAACCATTAAATCACATTAGTTCAAGGTTTATTTCCTACCGGCGTCACAATATTTTGTGGAATAGATCTACAAAAATTCAAGTATATGTCTCACATCCTGTGACTAACAGTGGACTAATGAAAAATGATAGACATGGTACTTTTCTGACCAATTATTATACCCCATGCAAAATGTTACAGGGGGTATAATATTCAAATTTTTTGACACGTCTGTCATTAGATCTGTATTATTCTTTATTTGCTTAATGCATACGTATTATCACAATTTTCTTACAGTATACACAGAAAAATCAGAATGGTGTGGTATGGCACTTCTATACATGAAAAACAGCGCCTATATTATATAGAACAAAGAGCAAGAGCCACGAACCATCAAAAATGGCCCTGTGTCAAAAATTAACGGGTTTTTGTCAATTGATAGTGAAGACCTTTAGCTTTGCTTTGCCGTTTTTCTTTTTTCGATATCGATTATATTTTTTTAAAAAGAGAGTTTGAAGTATGGTGGTGTTTTAAAAGAAAAATGCTAGTAGAACGTCATTTTCTGTAACGTAACGTCGTAGGGCGGAAAAATTTCCTTGATCGATTTTGCATGTATGAATATGTGACTTTGAATTAAAACTAGTATCAATAATATAATAAACATCATAATTAATTTAAGACGATTAAAAGCATTTGGAACTTGATTTAACTTGCCGTCTTTATGGTAACCTCGTGTTTAACTGATTGAATTATATAGATACATGAAGTAAAAACTAGAGGTACTGTGAGCACTGAGCTCACAAATTGATACCCCGCCTATCATATATTTATAATGGCAAAGTCCATGTTTTGCTATGGGAGACCCGAAATATGTGTCTGATCAAAAGTGAAATAGGAGGTGCACAATGGCACAATGTAAAAAGATTCTGTGAAAGTATCATTAAATCCTTAATTTATTCAGGCGTATAAGAGGAGTTGCGGATAAGAGATGGGTACCCTAAATATTATTTAAAGAATGGCAGTGTCTATGTTTTGCTATTGGAAACCTGAAATATGTGTCCGATCAAAAAGTGAAATAGGAGGTGCACAATGGCACTATCTACAAAGATTCTGCGAAAGTATCATTAAATTTTATTGAGTGGTATAGGAGGAGTTGCGGATAAGAGATGTGTACCCAAAAGCGTAATGGACGGACGCACAGACGGACGGAAAGGACACCCCCATCACTATATACCCCAACTTTTCAAGCGGGAGTTAAATAATCTGTGTGACTGTCTTGGAATATTTTCATTCTACCTGGTCCCTATGATAATATTAAAAAAGGAATATTCTATTTATATCCCTTCAACACATTTTTGAGCGATGCTTCGCTCCTAGTGAAGTATTGTGTATAGATCATCATAAACAATATACGACATGCTTCAAATGCCGATAGTCTGACCAAGTTTTCCGGATTTTCCCCTACAGGCCAGCAGATATTAAGCTGATCTTTGGCATGTGCGTCCAGGCACGTAGTATCGTTTTTCAAAGTTGGGAAGTGGGCAGTCGGAAAAAAAAATAATTGAAAACATACCTGAAATGATCTTGAAACGAATGTTTCTGAACTGAAGAGCTAATTCTATAACTACAGTGTAGGTAAAAGTTTAATTGCAAAAAGGTTTTGTTTAAATTGAAAGAGACTTTCAATGCAAAATTCTTAGATCCTGATATTGCGAGTATTTTAACGTATAAAAGATCTAAATTATTTGGACAAGAGGAAGAAGGAAAAAGTTGGAAGGACTTGTTTCTAATCCATTTATTCATTTGTAACAATAATTTGAACGTTGTTTTCGATACAGAAACAGGGAAAATTTTAGATTAATTGGAAAGGGATTTCGCAATTTATCAGAATGGTTTAATTAGTAAACAGAACTCATCAAAACATTCTAGCCCTAAATGTAAGTTTCTTTGGAGTAATATGGAAAACAGTAGAGTACACTTCAAAAAATATTCTTAAGAAAAATAAATTCGTTAAAAAATCACTCGTCACTGTCCATTATTATATATTTAACAATATTTGCTAGAACCCTCGACCCCCCATTTTTTTGCAAAATATTCGAATTTTTTTTCTCCAAATACCTTAATATCAGCAGGGATTTTGTAAAGGTAGAGTCTGCGAAAATTCTATGATTATTTTCCATGTAAATGTATCAAAAGATTAAGCATGAGGAATTTTTCGTTATTATCACACGTAACCATTGTGTAAAATCCACACTTTCGATTTCATTTGCATATTATGGTTTCTATGGTTTATAAAAAGAGTAGAGCTACACTGATATTGCTGATATGTGGGTCACTATCATAATTGAAATACATGTACAGGTGTTATTTATCCTTGTTTTATTGTCTCACAATCAGCACAAGATTGATTTTAATCAACAAAAGCTTGCTTAAAAATATTTTAGTCGGAGAAGCAATAAGAGTTGTCCGTACATATTTTTTTTCAATTTTCTTTATGATTTTTTTTCGTGAAAAGAGGCGCTGCCAAACCAGTCCCCACCCCCCTTCTCATTGAGGAAAAAATAAGAGGAGTAGGAAAGTCTTTAACAATTTTCAATTTCTAGATTGATTTCTATTAATTAACAATAAAGAAAGTTAAATTCAAGACAACCTAAGAGAATAAAATAAAAATAACTACATTAGATGAAAATTTTGTTGCCATTAGTTTGTAACACCCCCCCCCCCTCTTTTTTTCAATCTCAACTGGAAGTCTTGGATCTACCATTCTACATATCATGATACTAATAGTTTATACATGTACTGAGGGAGGAGGTACAAGTGTACTAACCAGAATAAGCTGACAATAGATTTAAAAAAAGAGTAAAAATTATGATCCAAAAAAAAAAAAAAAAATCTACTTCGTTGGGTTAAAAAAAATCTAGCTATAAACAACTTACGGCCATACGCTTTAAAGAACATGATTTGTTTTTTAAAACATTCTAAGATCTCTCTCTCTCTCTCTCTCTCTCTCTCTCTCTCCATGTGTTTTCACATCGCTGAATTCTTAGATAAAACCGTATACTAATAAAGTTGCAATGAAGAGATGATGACGGATAAAAACTTTGGGTAAATTATATGTAGTGTACTTATTTATTTAATTTATGTTTTGTCTAAATAGACCTATAATCACTACCCTTTCGGTTTATTCCCACCTAGCCAAAATTTCAAATTTCTTATTCCCATTTAGCCAAAATTGGGATTTTCACACCTGAGTGGTCATCTGTGTATAGTCTGTTTTAGGTTTATTACCTGTAATAATTACCTGTGGTGCACAAGATCATTATTAAAAATTAATGCATATTATAAATATTTGTTTTATAAGATATTGAATAATCAGGTTCTACATATTAATAAATTTAAAACACGTAACACATGTATCAATATTTTTTAAACAGAAAAAAATCACATTTTGGAAAAAAAAAGACAATGTTAAGAACAATTTTTATTGATGAAAATAATTCATTTAATTCATTCATCAATTAACATGGGAATAAATAATTTTTTGACAATAAACAATTGAATGTATTTGGATTATTACTTAACTGATAAAAATAGAGAGATGAAAAGAATGAAAATAATTGTTTAATTTATTTTATTAAATAGTACCTTACTTTTGAATGTATTTTCAAATATTTGTGATACATATTAAAATAGTAAAGAATTTAAAAATTGGCATGAATTAATTTAAATTAAAAAAATATTAATAATTTAAAATGTTTATTTCATTTACCATTAATCACATTATCGGAATTTAAGGATAATTTTAACATTTTACAGTGCTTAATTCAAAAACAGACTATAGGTCACCTGTAATTAATTTCTTTTGTTCTTCCCCTCCCCTTACCTGTACACCATTTCCACCTAGCCAAAACCAGTCACCTGTAATAATTTCAGAATTTTGGTTAAGTGGGAAGACACCACCCTTTCACTGACTGCATAACTATACTAATAATTAAATTGTGTTAGTTACAATGAAATATTTGGAGCACAGTACAAAAAATGCATAAACATTTTATACTGATGTCTAAGACATACGACATGCATTTAATGCAATTTTACTCACTGGGGGTATATTTGAATTATGTTTCACAATGGATGACAAGATCGGGTATGTGTTTTATGTACATATGCGTCAATAGCCTCACTTCGATTTTAATAAATACAGACATATTAAAAATATACCGATATATTCTTCTGTTTTGATCACGGGCGCGGGATCGTCATGTGCAAGTGTTTTGACGAAACCCGATATCGGTGCTCACATAACTGCATACTATAACTATACATTATTTTGTATCAGCATGTATAAGCCATGGCTATAACTGAATTTTGTTAATCAACTGAGATGATTCTTCTGCATGTACATAAAAAAGATGGATTTCGGTGCGGAAATGCAGATGATTATCTTAATGCGTATTTTTTTCATTCCCTTTTTTTTCATTTTTTTTTTAATTTTCACTTTGGGCAGCAACCCATATCATTATTATTTCGCTTGTTTTAAAAAGGTATAGCGTGATATCTCTGCTACAATCTCTATTAATTTGTTTACAATTTAAGTCATGCCTGATAACACTATTAACAACAGTATTTTGAATTATTTCAGGGAGGGGAGGGGGGAGGGGTAGTAAAGAAAGACACCGTGGCGGGAATTTCTGATAACTTATAATTTGATGGTATCATCCAGTTGGGTTTACATGTAATTAAATCATATACATGTAAATACATGTAGGGGCACTATCTAGAGTGTTAAAAGCTTTTCAGCAACATCCCAAATAATTTACAGCCTTTATGACGTCACAACTGACGTATTACTAGTAACGTCATACATAATGACCTAGTCATAGTAAAAACCACAAAGTTTTTCCAGACATTTATTTCAGAAAATGTATGTAGTTGACTATTTTTCACATCTAGCGTTTTAAATGAACAATTTACTGATTTTCTAGCATATTTTGTGAAATTTATATTTTTTTATTATTACATGAATTGAATGTAAACGATTGATCTACTAATTAATGATTATTTGATCCATCAAAATTTAAATATAAAATCAAATTTCATATTGGCCACAGCCACGAACAACAACGATATTAAACATAAAGATTTGTATCGGTAATATCTATATCTATGGGAAGTATAAAAGTTGTTCTTGACTGTGGCCACATCTAACTTTGGGAAAATCTGTCGAAAAAACGGCATTTTTTAACGTTTTTATGAAACCGTCGCATTTTCCAACCGTCGCACGTGTTTAATGGCGCATTATATAACGATATAAGTTATGTATGGAAAAGAAGAATGTTGTCCTCTAATATTTAACGTATAGTACTCTTCTTGAACCGAAACTTTATTTTTGTGAAAAACACAGGGCCAAATATGATGGTTCGTGGCTTTAGCTCTTTGCTTGGTATGGCGTTTCTATACATGATGAATATAACAAACATTGTAACATATAACAAATACATATATACGGATATAAAGATAGGACATACGAAGAATGAACCACAACTTTTTTTCATTTCTTAACTTAAAAGCTAAACGCAAAAAAAATCCGAAATTACAAAGCTCGGAAAAGTTTTGGACACTCAGTAATTGAACTAGTTTGAATGCGGATGATTTTTTCCAGTAATAACATTTAATATATTTACTTTTCAATTCTTTGTATGGGGGACAAATCAAAACAAAATGAAATTCATCTTCTATGTTGGTTTTACAAAACTCACAAAATCTTTGTTCCTTTACAATATTTCTATGAGGCCCAGTTTCAATTGCAAGGTTACGTGAAGACATTTTTATTCTACTTTTTTGTTTTTTGTATTTTTTTATAAAGAGAAGGTATTGACTTTCTTAAATAATATTGCAAGGTAAAATAATCTACAATATGCCTGTAAAAAATACATTTTGTTGAACAATTCATTTCAGTCATGAGGTTTTGTATGAAATTATCAGTTATTCTTTGTTTGATACTAGTAATTAGAAATTGTTTATTAGTCATTTGTTTGTCCTTTCAAACCAGATAAATCCAAGTCCATTTTCAAAAAGTTTTTCTTTGACTTTTACAACCCAGTTGTCAGAGTGTCTGCTGGAATATACACATTTTCAGGATACAATTGTCGGTTTTTGTTTTTGATCTGTTTTTATATACCCGCTGATGTATTGTTTCATCCGCCATATTTAAATAAATACTGTACAACACGGGATGTTTTATTTTGATTTCTAGAGTTCAACTAGTAAGCATGCGCATATTGAACACTAGTGTGACACGGGTTATCTTAATCGAATACACTCTTAAATACCCACGACGCATGAAGAGTTATCTCTAAATTTAGATAAAGCTACGTAGATGACTTTATTTATACGGCGGGTATGTCCAGCTTGTTATAACAAAACATTTCACATTTTACGTTTATTTCATGCATAGTTTTTCCTATCTTGTTGATTTATCCGACATTAAATAAATATTATCCTATCCTATAGACTGGCGACCTAATACTAGTAGTAAACTTTTTTTCACATCTATGGTCACTGTAGCCATGTTGCACGAGAAAAGTTAGAACGATAAAAAGCACAATTAATGGCAAGTGCGTCTCGAACATCATTTGAAAAGATGTGTTGTAGACAGCATGCGTTAATATTTTTTAATATGTATATAAAAATGGGTCCAATAATCACGCTGTTGATGCAATATCCAAAAAAATCCATTGAGTCATTTCAATTTAGTGGTTTCAAGTCAAATTTGAGCAACTAATTAACAGAAAAATAATGAATCGAATGAGTATGAAAAAATTAAATTATCTAAAATGATAGCACTTTATCTTTTAAGACATCGCCACTAAATGTATACATGTCTTATTTGATTTAGATCACAATATCAAGGAAAACAATTTAATTCTGCATGCATCTAAAATATTACCTATTAACTTTCTGACATTCTCTCCCTCCCTTTCTCTCTCAAGAGAGATGTTACATTGTACTTCCATTATTTGAGAAAAAAATATATATATACCAACCATTCCAGGATTCGAACCCATTCTCAGGTAAAAGAATCTTCGAAAAAGAGTCCACACACTTTACCACTAGACCAGCTGGGACACTTAATTATCATGCGCTATTTTATGTGCACATTTTCCACCTCGGATGGATAATAATTTTTATTCGATTTTTGTGATTTTCAAAAATATGCCTCTTTGAAACAAAAATCGGAAATGGTAGTTTTGAAGAAAAATCCTGTCTCTTTATGCGTATATCAAATTCATTCTGTTTCAAGGAGGCAATTTTTCAGAACAATGGGGATTCCCTATTTGAAAAGCAGAAAACTTGACTTATTTTGCTATATGGCTAATTCACACTTCATTTAATGGCAAATTGGTAGTCGATATGCAGTTTCTAAATACTGTTCTACATTGTGCTGTATATACCGTTGTATCTGAAATAAATTTAAGACCGTTTTCTGTTAATTGAAAATTTTCTTTTAAACTGCTACAACTTTAGGGAAAATAATAAAAGAACTGCAACACCCTCTTTATGAACACTATCCAAATCTGCTAATCCGAAGAATTAGCACATAAATTATACCAACATAAAATAATGAAAAAAAAAAAAAAAAATAAGACAACGATGATTTAAAGATATAGTAATTTGTCGACATTCTATTTGAACACAGGTAACAGATGGGGAACTTGAAACCTTATAGGTCTGGTAACTAATTGACAAAACGTGAATAGCAGGATCCTTTTTCTTTGTTCACAAAAGTACACAAGTAGGAGACAAATGAGCGATGATTTCGTCAATAACTCACCTCTGTCACGGGGTCTTCTTGACAAGACCCCACTGTCAATTTCTCGGGCCACGAAAACAGATACTTTTTATTATTCAAGCACATTTTTCGTGCCGACACGTCAGTCTGAAAAAGAAAACTTAATCATAGTAAAATCACGGCAAAATCGCGCATATGCAGGATAAAAATGGACCAGATTAAGATGATTTGCATATTTCCTTGTATTTACCTGCACTGTACCCCAGACTTTGGAATTATGTTGGTATGGGAGTAATTCAGGCCAAACTGTTTGGAGAAACCAGGCGAAAGGTTTGCATTTTAACGTTCTTCTGATTTCCTGCCTTTTACTAATATCTCCAGCATCTCTTTCCTATTTAACAAAAATTAAAACTGATGACATTTGTTACAACGCAAAATGTAATAAACTGGGATTATTACATTTTCCGTTATTACATTTTGCGTCGAGATCAACACAAAATGTAATAACGCAAAATGTAATAACGCGATTTTATGATTATTACATTTTGCGTTATTACTTTTTGCGTTGGGATTAACGCAAAATGTAATAATGCACTTTTTGGTTGTTACATTTTGCGTTAATTATTTTTTGCGTCGAAGACAACGCAAAATGTAATAAAGCAAAATGTAATAAAACAAATATAATTGTTTTTTTTGGTATTGTTTTCAATGCGAAACATCACAAAATTGATTGAAACATATAACAATGGGGAAACTCGATTTAGTAAACAGACAGACCTATAAGAATATTAGACAAACATTATGGCCTTAACGGACATTACTAAATCTAATCGTATATATTTTCAAACTCTATTTCTAACATGACACGTCTGTTTATAAATCAGTCTGTATTATATATCCATCACTGGCATTCTTGATTACCAAGGATTGACCATGGGTCCATTAAAAGCTCTTGATATGCATGTACAACATGCATGTGTACATTGGTTAGCAAATTAGAAGTGCATGTGTGTGTGTGTGTGTGTGTGTGTGTGTCTGGTGAGGAGAAGCGGGGGTAGGGTTTACTTCGTATGTTGAACTTTGTATTTCTATGCGCATGCAGAAACAATCCATTTTATTATTAGAGAGAGAGGGAATTTTAGTTTTGCTGGTCTGCAATGCACATGATTTGTAAAACAGTGTGATATCTTAATTGTCAAGAAACCCCCTTCCCGCTATAGTTACACTTGCTAGTAAAAATAGATTTCTTTTCTAAATTTCGTGCATGTTCCTATGCAAAAAGAAAAAGCAAATCGATACACCGATAAACGAAATACCCCCCCCCCCCCCCCACACACACACATGTACACGCAACACCTATGATTTGAATGTCATCTGATTTTAAATGGCTAATGATATCAATATATGATGAAATCAGATCTATTGTAAGAATAAGCATATTGTTTTATTTTCTTTCCGTTTATTTTCTTCATCCACTACTCAATTGAAAATTATTCTCAATCTGACTGACAAAAAATGTGTTATTACATTTTGTGTTTTTGTATTTTGCTTAATCTTTACGCAAAATGTAACAACGCAAAATGTAATAATCCAAAAATCGTGTTATTACATTTTGCGTTATTACATTTTGCGTTGATCTCGACGCAAAATGTAATAACGCAAAATGTAATAATCCTAAAAAGTGTGTTGTTACATTTTACGTTATTACATTCTGCGTTGATATCGACGCAAAATGTAATAACGCAAAATGCAATAATCCCGGTTTATTACATTTCGCGTTGTTATTACATATCGCGTTGTAACATACGTTGTCTCTTCGATTTACTTTTCTCTGCTCAAAGTCTTAGAAAGTTGGTTAAAATTGAATTTTAAAATGTAAGAAAGCAAAAGAAAGTGAAATTAGAAATCGAGCGGGGATTATGTTTTAACTGCTTCAACTCATAAATATACGATATACATGTATGCAAAATTCAAGTACCGTTCTATATCGTGCAATATAATGGGAGAACAATTCATGATGGCATCAAACGAAGACCGAGAAATAGTAAAGGTTTTCCCTATTGAACTGATATTTACTGTGAAAACATTCTCTTTTTGAGTACCGCAAATCTAAAGATGTGTACAGGGCACAATGTTTTCAGGAAGGTTGAGAGAAATTATTTACAACGTTTAATTTGATGATCAAGTATTAATAAATGCGCCTCTACCTCGATATTCACATCTATAATTGTCGCTGGTTGCTAAAATAAAGCCCTCTTTGATAATTTTTAATCAACACATCCCTATATACGATAGAAGTGTTTTTATTCTTCCTTGACTTTTGGTACGTGAAAAAAAAAAAATAAATTCACTCATACATGTATGTACCTTCATAGTTGGGTATATTTGATACACGTATTGTTTGTATTCGTCAAACCAAACTTCCACGATTCTCTTGTAATTATATATTTCTATGGTTGTTCGATCTTCCAGAAAACTGTATGGCTGGTCACGTGCAATATGGCCAATCTTTGAACATGCAACATGGATAAGCCGGCCTCCGCAAGTCCATACCTGACATTATTCAAATATTTTAATAATCAACAAACACAGTTAAAGCGTTTTTACATAGAAATGTGATCAGCATCTAGATGTAATTTAAAAGCACGTACTGTCTGGGACAATGACTATAAACAAAAGCTTTGAAGGGAGAGAAAAAAAAAAACCAATCCCACATTACTACTCTTTCCTTATTTAAGTGATTAAAGACCAATTCACAGTAAAATGAAATCTCATACAAATAAAAGACCATCTTTAGGGAAAACATCATATGACCCAAGGGTGTCATGATTCCACAAGTTAATTTTTTTTAACAAAGAAAAGAAACTGCTTGATACAAAATTTTTCATGTTATGGCTTTCTGTGACCCTGATGCAAGGTCATTTTTACAAAGTCATTGGTTTAGAATTATATCGAATTCTTTCTAGATTTTCTCACTAGCAGTTACGGAAGGAGCTCGAATTTTAAACATTTTTTTCAACCCTGAATTATATGTACTCTTATCTGAATAAACAACCTTTGTCAGATTCAAGCTTGATCAGGCCCCAGGATCATAAAGTCTTAGCCTTTTGAAATTCAAATTTTCATTCATAAGTTGAATATTTATATTAATCTGACACTAGAAAAGTAAAATAAAGCATAAATGGGAAACAATTCTTAATTTTGGTTTCAAATTTTACGTGTTTTCTGTGATAACCTTGTACAAATTCTGACTGAAGTCTAAAACTGCTTCATGAGCCTGGGACCTGGACACATGTGTCTAATTTTTTTCTGTCAGTTATGTTAACAGTGCCAAAATACAATCTATCAATCGATCGATCAACGTCATTATAATCCTCAGATTAAAGACAATCAATGAGCCAAATTTGAGTTTCCAATATTTTCTGAATATCAAATTTACTGGGGACCCTATTTACACCCCGAGGTAAATGGGGAGGGGAATTGGAGAATGGCTAAAATATAATTTGGGAGATCTAGAGAGTTAAAGGTAAGTTTTCAATTATTATAGTACGTCAATGCAATTAAATATACTTAGTCTAACTTAGTATATAGTCAAACGTTTGAATCATTAAAACAATAAAATATTGCCTCTCGTGGTGATGTAGAAATCTCTGGGGAATATTGAATGATCATCCTCAATCAATAATTTACCCGTATAGAAAGCTCGATGTTTTCTCCGCCCCAGATCTTCATTCCGTCATCAAGTGACCCGATGCTTCTAAAATACTCCACATTCACTGCAAATCCGGATCCTACTGCAATCACGCCCCTTAACGCCAATAAAAGTAAGCAATATATCTATGTACATGTACTAGTATTAACTTTCGATTACTACCCTTATACGACATCAGCTACCTAGGCATGAAGTCATAAGGCTGAATCTTCGATTTAGGTTTTGAAACCACACATAAATGTAAAAACCGAATTAGACATGCATTAAACAACCTCTCTAATCATAGTCATTTTCTAAATAAAAGAAACAAAGTATATTTAAGCTAAGAAGGGTTAATTTACATGTATCATGTTGATATTGATGTTTGCACGTGTTTTCAATTTTAAACTGCAACTCGGAAAAAATGCAAAAACATCCTAGATATGTTACATGTACATAGGCCAAATGAATGCCAAACATCTAACAACTTTGTACAGAAATACATGGACGCTGACCATGCAGGCACCCTCACATTAGAGTTTCTTGGCCAATTCAAGCTACATCTACACATTGCACATATCATGCATGCAATACAGTTTTTTTTTCTTGTGTGTTAAATTGGCATATTAGCTTAATTAAAGAGTTACGGTTCCGTGTTAAGTTTTCGCTTTCAAAAAAAAAGACATCAATAGTAACTAGCTCCTTTGAGAAGTTTATTAATAAGCTAAAATATAATATTTAGCTCTGGCTAACTTAACATTTAATTGATAAATACCGCACATGGATTCCCAAGTTTCAAATATGTTCTCCACTGAAAGCTGGATGTGCAACAAATATGCAACAAGTAGATATTCCGGACGAAAAATATGAAGACCAATTTGTATATGTTTACATATTCAAAAATTAAAAATACATATCAGTACATTGCTACAAAATATTGCATAATGTTTATTTAATATTAATGCTCAATTAGTATGAGAATTTCGTTTTTCAATTCTTTTTAAAAGCTTTTGATGGATAAAAAAATAAAATTTTGCCAGAAATCTTTATTTTCTCTGACAAAGTTTCTTACAACATAGGTCCTTACTTTATAACAGAGTTTTAAATAAGTCCCACATTAAATTTTTATCCCCTTCTGATTGTGTTAGGTAACTGAGAGTAACACATCACACGTTCGTCGAAAACAAGACCTGCTAGAGTTGTATTCTAGTTTTTCCTTCCACAGTTAGATTTAAATCGTTAAGTCTCTTATCTCATTTAAAAATTAACAATTAACTTTTAAGATTGGTGTCCTAAGACAATGGTGATGCAAAATACCATAAAATGGTCTTTAACGTTTCTGTCCAGCAAAAACCACCTTTAAAACAGAACAATACTAAGTACAGAACACGGTACAACTTTATTATACCATTAAATGCTGCCTCTGTAAACCATAAAATGCACATTTCTTTTACTTCCAACTACAGTGTACTTGTTTTGGACATATATAAATCATATGATACAATTAAAATGTTCATTTTGATATTACCGCATATTTGAGCTCGTCTCACAATATGCGTCCTTATCAAAGCTCTACCCTGTTATTAATGTCATCATTCGCCTCTTATTTTGCGAGAAACTGATGATTGAGTAAAGTCGGAATTTATTTATCTACCCATACAGTGTCTGTACTTAGTCACTATGTTTCCGGGTTATCTCCCCTTTTCTATGCATCAATGAAAGTGAAAGGTGGGTGATGAAAGTATCTGATGTAATTTTTTGCATTTTGAAATAGTATATCACAATTTCTGTTTTTTAAAGTTAATTTTCAGTCGGAATAAGTAGCATTAATTATTTTATTGACATTTATATCGCTCGATGGCGAATATTTGATTGGATGGAAACATATCGCATAGGCGTCGGAAGCAAATTGAAAGTGGGGGGGGGGGGGGGCTAATTGAAAGTGGGGGGCTAAACCTGCGAAAAAAGGTAAGCCCCAATTTTCAATGCCTATATTATGTCTATCTTTGCAAAAAAAGTAGGGGGGCTAAGCCCCCCTAACCCCCCCCCCCCCCGGTTCCGACAAGGTTAAGGTTAAGATAAGGTTATTTAGTTGAATAATCGTAAAAAGAGAGCCAGCGTGAAAATGATGATTATTAAACTTCAAATTTATTCGGTACCCTTTCTTCAAGGTCAAACACGTATCGATATTTATAGATACTTATGTCCCTTGGCTACAGTCTTCACGGAATATCCATATAATTCTCACAGTGGCTTTTGTAACATAGATTTGTTATATATATATGTATTTATCAGTTTAATACTTAAAAACTTTTAGTGGCAAAAAAGAACATTGTACAAGGATAGTGCTACCCTGTACCTTTAAAGCAAAGTAAGTAAATAAATATACAGATTGAAAATTAATTAAAATACAGTCAATCTATTGCAGCCATCCAAATGTTATATAGCTGAATTCACAAAGGGAAGTACTGTTTATTTTTAAGTGTATAATTATATAGTATAATATAGACAATTGTTTATTTCCAATCAAGCCACCACCCCCCTCCTCCAAGAGAGGCATGAAAAAGATACATTTGTATACAAAGGCAGTCATTAATTGTGAGATAAAATTGTGTAAAGTTAAATACATGCAGAGCAAGTTGTTGTGCTTTACAATGTTGTATTACAATAATGCATTATATGTATATGAATGAAACATGAAGTAGATGTTTATTTAATTGTACGTCAACATATTTACTGTTGTCACATGTAGTGGCAAAACTCTAGGTAGGTAAAAATGAATGCATGAATTATGACTTAATATATTTGAAACATAAATATCAGTTGGATGGAAGCATTACAATGAGCAATTCAGGCTATTTAAAATGGGGGCATGAGCACCCTAAGTCGAATTGTACATTGTCCGCCAAATCCACATTACAGACAAATTTGAGCCACCAGCATCCTCACCTATCAGGATATCGCTTCTCTTATAGGGCTTGTCAAGGAGGACAATTTTGGCCTCCACGACACCAATAAAAGAAGGGCATTGCAATTTAAAAACACAATTGTTCACCAGTTAGGGTAGATAGGATTCCCCATATTATTAATAATCAACTAAAATTCTATCAAGGCTAGCTACTATTTTGCTTGTCGGGATATCAAATGGGTTCAGATTAAGATGGGGTCAAAGACACGTTTCAGATATATATATTCTGTGTCTGCTCATTGGTTCAGTTAAGATTATAAAGAAAATCAAGGAGGTTCGGGCTATTAGGTCGTTTTCAAAGCTGTGTCCACCTTGCATAATCATGAACGTCTCTAATAGAGCTTGTGTCATGGCTGTGGTGTTTTTCCTTTGAAGTCAAGTGTATACACCGATGGGCGGACCCTGCCAAAACTGTGCCGTGTAAATAAATTATTGAACACCAAGGCGATTTCAACATTTTAAATTACATGTATATTGAATCTGAATTACAGAATGAAACGGGCTTTGTTATATACAGAGACAAAATTTCGAAATGTTTTTACGGAACTCTGCAAATATTCGATCCACCGCATCGAGAAATCAAGTTCTTGACATGAATTCCACAAATAAATATCTTAAAATATCACACCTATTGTAATAGAACCTTTTAGCAGGATATACGGTACCATCTTTGCTGTATTCTTTGCTCAACTAGAATAAAGTTCAGCTGTACTGCATCAATAGATGAAGAGTTACTAACACAGCGTTTTGTTCATGCCACAGCTCTCGAATATGTCAAATGATCAACGGGTATCTTTTTTTCTTGATTTTCGATTAACACCTGAATTTCCCTTCTTCAACTTCGAATTTTACATCCTTGATATCCAAAGGTTTCTTATGAATTTCATTAACAATCCGTTTTTATATTAAGTTGAAGAGATGCAATCAGACGTCCTTTCTCATGAACACACACATAAAATGTGCGAATTAAAAAATACTGGCGGGAAGGAGAGAGTATCCATGCGGTCACCTGACAAAAACTATTTTTTTATTGGTGTAATGAAAAGTCATGCTTGAAAATTTGGAACATAACAATTATTGACGTTTTGATTGGCCATGATACAAGAAAGTTACTGAATATTTATTATGGTGTATTCTGATTTATTTGGACGAAGGGGCGGAGACTCGTGCTTCGCACTCGTCACCGCCCTTCGTCCAAATAAATCAGGATACACCATAATAAATATACAATAACTATTACCTGTACTTTAATTGAGTGAAGGTTTAATGATAACAGGTTTATTGTCCTCTCTCTCCTGCCCCCTAAGGCCCCTTGGGTATGATACATAAATTTATAGAGTTGTGTTAAGTAAAAGTTTTGTACCTTCTCCAGTTAGCCTCGAAAACTTAAATAAACTTACATTATTATCACATTATATAGAATATTTCTCGTTTAGGTTTGGGAAAGTGTTTGATTTTACATGTAGGGACTAATTTCATCATGGGGGTTTTCTTTCAATATAATAAAAGCTTCTGGTCTTGTTCGATATTTTTAGGCACACAAGGGTCTTTTAGGTTCAAATATAAATATAATTCTACAAATACAAGTCTAAGTAAATAAACAAAACTAAACTAATTAATTAATTAAATAAATAGGTAAAATGAAATGCAGATAATTTTAGCATAGCTTCAGGATAAAATTGTCACAAAAGACATTTTAACTTGACAAGATTATTAGGAATATGCGCATTTATTCCATTGAGTTATCTGTCTTATCAGAGGGTTAGTGAACCTTAAAATAAGATTATGCAAATTAAATTTCCTGACCTTTTACAATTTTACTCCAGTAACTTAGTTTGACCAAATGAATAAATTATAGGTTCTTAAATTGTTACAGTCATGCAGGCATATCGGGACAGGGCTGTGGATGTATTTTTGTATTTTGGTTGGGAAGGAGCATTGATCAATGGTCAAACAGTTAGGAAAAAATGCTATAATAAAAGATTATGTAAGTTGGGGCCTAATTTTTGGTCATTGATGGTTTCTGTTGTGTCTCTAAGTGGGAAAATAAAAAAAAAAGATTTATAATTTAACTCAGGAAAAAATTGCTTTAGTTCAAATTTTAATTCACGGTTCTTAAACTCACAAAAGGTAATATGTTTGGGAAACTGGTTTTATTCATCATGAAATATAAAACATAACAAAACTAATCATAAGGCAAGATTTACTATTGATCTGCTATGCTAGCAGATGCAAATTCTTGGGGTTGAAAGGGGGAGGGGGTTAGACATATATTGTTCCACGGACCTGAATTGAATAGAATCTGATCCATTTCCTGCAATGTTTTGTATGTTGTTCTCAGAAATGAGGCTACTGGTTTGTTAAAGACAGCAATTCTACAAAAACTGCTGACACATATCATGCATATATCTAATGGGCTTTCTTACTGTCTACACTGTTTTGAAATTTCCATTAGCATGCGCTCTTGAAGATAAGCAGCAATGACAGCTAGAAATTAACATTGTTTTTTTCTAAAATTAATGATATTCAAATAAAGATCTATTATAATGTATTTTATCGCTTCGTTATGAATACCGAGTAAAAATTTTCATTCTTTACGAAATATTCAGCATTAAAATGAAGTAGAAAATTACATGCGCTTTGCAATTTCAATTCACACTAAGTGACATTTCTACCTAAAACAAACTGACAGACAACTTACGGTAAAGAAGCAGTGTCCGGTTTTCCTTCTGTTTGGTCTCTCCGGAAGTAAGTTTCAAAGAAATGTAGCTGCCAATCAAAACCGTAACGTGTTCGATAATTCTTCTCGTGTGAGTATTTGAAAGTTTTGGCGTCGATGTAATCAAGGTGACACATTGCGATTGTTGCTTTGTTGTCCATGATTTCCACCAATAAAGGCTGTAGCCTTTAAAATGTTCAAAAATCCTTTGAAGTCATTACAAATACATGTACCAGTGGAGGAAGTTTGCGCTATTTTTGGGATTTAATTTTCGAAAGAGTTGACATGTAAACACGGCAAGTAACTTATTTGAAAAGTTCTGAGGACACCAAAAAATGGTTGTTGTAGGAGGATAATAAATTACAAGCATACTAAAATGTTTTGTTTTATTTGATGATGTTTTATGTATTTCCAGGAAAAAAAAGTGGTTTTACGGGCCGACCCTTTCAAAGCATTCTGATAAATGTGACATTTGATGAATTAAGCCTTAAGGCATTTAAGTTAAATGTAATCATTAAACGACAAGGAGAACAAACATACATTATAGAGTTAAATGATCCATGTAAGCAACATGTAGATTTACGAGTTCTTTTCAAAACTGGTCATACACTTTCGACCTCTAACCATGTAAAATTGTAAAATGATATGAACAATTGTAATATCTTCCTAAAATGATTTTCCTTTTTTTATTTAATATTAATAATAATTTTCAAATAGTTAATTTTTTTTCTCGAAATGGTTCATTGTTTACACAAATTTCTGATGACTTATATAAATTTACTTGCATTTTAAATTGTTTGTATGAAATCAAAAAGACCTGAAATGAAAAGCAATGGAATTTCCTTTTTAATTGCTGGTCCTTAATTTCTTCTCGCATGTACATATATAATAATATTCTAAAAAATAATTTCACACAATTGATTTTTTTTCATCAAAACAATTTAAAGAACTTTTTTTTGTAAATTTCTTATTTTCTAATAGACATTTTACAATGTAGCCAAAACACAATATAGATTAATATGTACATTAAGTCTAAAATCTATGAAATTCAAACACTTAATTTTCATAATTCACCAGTTCTATTTCGTTTGGAGAAAATGAGGCATATGGCATTTTATATCTGAGCGTAATCGGGGTTTTAAAAAAAGATATTCAAAATATGAACAAAAGGCAACATACAATACACAGGAATGAATTAATATTTGGACAGCAGTGTTCAGTTATGAACTATAGTAATAATTAAGCAAAATTAATTACATGTACCAGTTATTGTTGACCTCCATGTGACTATCCAGGAACACAACAACTTCTGACTTGACCTTGGACAGCCCGTGTAGTCGGGCTCTGATCAATCCATGTCGTTGTTCCAGTCGGAGGTATGTTATAGGAGAATTAGGTAGATATGTTTGTAGAAAATGGGGGCCTTGGAGAGTCTCCCGTTCTGTATAAAACAACACATGGGTCTGAAAAATATCTTCACAGACAACAACTGTACACATACATGTAAACGTAGACACGGGTATATGCATATGCATGCAAGTGCATCATTATTTACACATTCTTGAAATATTCATAAACTTTTGAAGTTTTAAAAACAAAAAACTATATAATTTCATGTGCATTAAAATACAGTGACGTTGCGCACGGTGTTGGTGTCAAAAAGTCAAAAAATCCATTGTAGCATTTGCGCTATTTTTATAATTTTGATTATTTGTGTATGAAATTAATCCTCTGGCAATTTAGCAAGGTATGCACTTCAAAATAAAAAAATCTGTTGCACATATCCATTTCAAGCGAAAAAGATCTAAACTAAAACTGATTCAGTGAATATGCAATAAATAAACCTCGGCAATCTTACCCAAGCTCGCGTCGTCCACAAGTATGATTTGATCGAGCAGGTGCGCGGGAGTTCGCTGTATCACAGAGTACACAGTGCGTACTAATACCGAAGGCCACTCGTTGTGGTATGTGATCACTATGCTGGATTTGGGTAGGTCCTTAGGCCATGCTATGCTGCTGCAACTGGAAAATATGGTACAAAATATTAATTGATCCTAGCTAAATATTTTGATCCAAAAAGATTTGAGATCTAGACTTCCGTATACATGTGGATTTTTTTTACACTTTGAATTAAATGTTCCTTTGTCGTTCAATTGAAAGTTAAGGTGCATGACGAACGTAAAAATGTTTAACCTTAAAGGTCTAGAGTCAGGAACTGGACGATTTACTGGGATTCGGTCACTGAGGAAAACATTCATTTTATATTTCCTCCTAGGGTTTCCCTGGTCTCTGGAGATGTTCGCTAAAAGCTGCTCAACTTGGGATTCTTCTTTAAGAGTATTGGTAAAGAAAACTGCGTCAGCTTGAATAGGGATATAGATATTCTCGGTGTTTGAAGGGCGTTGTCCACCTTTCATAAGCCACAAAATGTACACAGCCGCAATGATAAATGAAGAGAGCAACAGAGTTTTCTTCTTGCGGTATATTTGTTGTATAATCCATTTTTTAACCATCTCTCTTGAATATGTATGCAACATCAAATGCTGTTGTTATGAAACTTTACAATAGTATTTCATGTCGATTCATTAAACCCTGTATACATACAAAATGTACCCCACGTTATGGACATCCACCAACAGGTGTAAATATGTTGATCACCAATCATCTCTGTGTAGTAGAGGCTGGACTATGCTTCATTATTTTCCTTATAAGGAGTAAATATCGTTAATTTCTCACATTTGTTGATGAACACACTTAATAATATTTACCTTGCCCAGGTAGATTACCTACTTTCATTTTCTCATTAGAACAAGAAAGGTAACTCTGCCGGGTACCCCAGGTCTAAAAGTATGGATAATTTTTGAATTACATCCCTTGCAATGCATGTACCTGATGTAAGTTCGAAATGCAAATTGGTACTGACTGCTAAATTATATATATGTGCATGTATATGTTTGATTGGAGTGAAAATTTGCACACTTCAAAAATAGCATTTCCAATACAGATTTAAGTATTCTGTATAAATGTAAATAATATAATTACAACATACTTAATATTTAAAATGCTATCACGTTAGTCGGTCTTATGATCTATAAGAAAGAGGTTGCGGTTTCCGATATTTGACATGGCCGTAGGAACCGGGGGGGGGGGGCGTGCCCCCCTCCCTCCCTCCCAGTAATTTTGCCAATATAGAATACTATAGAAAACCTAGCTATTATATGGTTGTGCCCCTCAATAAAAACGGCTGATGACCTTTTTTTTTTAGCTTGTCAAGGAATTTTGGTGTAGTTGTTAGTGCCCCCTCCAACTGAAAATGTTTGGCTGTGCCCCCCCCCCCCCAAACTGAAATTGCTTCCTCGGGCCTGTTTGATAAGCTGAAGTCTACATTCTTAGTACAGATGTTTCTTTAATTCCGTTTGAAAATTTATGTTAATCTCCCCCCCCCAAAAAAAAAACAACGCATAACCGTAATGTCTTTGAGGCTTTCATTGGTTTGCATATATCGTATCATCACATCAGAAATTGTACGAGCAACGCGCGGGGATAAAATTTTATGTGATTTATGAGAGACCCTTTGGAGACAAAACAATTTGCTCGATGAAGGTGGAGGTTAAAAAAGTCGGGCTATACATGTAGTGTACAAGTCAGTGGCATTATAAACGATTTCAAGAAGGGTTACATGTATGTGAAAATGCACCCTGATTGTCCAGACCTCGCCCCATGGATTTTCTGTTTCTCAAATCAAGTCTCAGGGGGCATAAAATTGATGATTTAGAAGATGTACGATTGCATGTTACAAGTCTGAAGGATATTGACGAAAGTTGATACAGAGATGTCTTAGCTGCTTTTTTGTAATATGAAATTCATATTTGAATCAAATTCTTTTACAAGTGGGTTAAAAGACATCAGAAGTATGTCGAACTTAGTGGTATACTTTGAAAAGGGGTGAGAATGATTTTAATGGTAGACCGGAAGTTTTCTTGATAAATATGTTTCTAAAGTTGTAATTTTACGTAAAATAGTTTACATAAGAGTTACATGTAACTTCCCTCTGCAATACTTGTCAGTGTATTATAAAAGCCTGTGTAATCATAATAAATGTTGGTAAAACTTTTATTTTAAAGTACATTAGTACATTATTACTGCGACAAACGGCTTTTAAAAAATATTTTGAAATAATAACTTTGTCTACGAATACATACATTGGCAGATTTAACAGCTGTTTAGAGGGAGCTAGAGCGCACCCCCCCCCCGTAAATTTTACTTAAATATGATTAAAAATAGAGGAATTTTAAGGTCTGCATAGATTTAGCAGAAGGAGGGGGTTGTCCCTCACATTCCAGGATTTTTCAGTGTTATATAGTAAAAATTATACTGAAACAAACACTGAAAACAGTATGTGAGAAAAAAAAATGTTTAAGTTTTTCCCACCCTCCGCTGTTTTTATTATTTTTTTTTTATTAGCCCCACTTTAATTGTTATGATTCGCCTTTCTTGAAGGTTCTTCGGCATAACCGAAAACGTTAACTTTTTCTACATTTTACCACAGGTACTTGTTGACAGGACCTCCCCCCCCCCCCCCCGATATATGACCCCGGGCTTGCTGGAATTTTATTTTTTACAATTTATACTTATTACACTTCGTTATCATGTATATCATACAAAAAATTGGGTTAAAACTCAAAATAACCGTTCCATACAAAAAATATCTCACTATATATCTCTCTTATTACATGTATGTATAGTGAGGTATTTTTTGTATAGAACGGTTATTTAGAGTTTTAACCCAATTTTTCGTATGGTATACATGATAAGGAAGTGTAATAAGTATAAATTGTAAAAAATAAAATTTCAACATATCGGGGGGGGGGGGGGTTGAGGGGGTCCTGTCCAGAAGTACATGTACCTGTGCATTTCACATGGAAAGTATATACATTGTAATTATGTGAATATTTATTTAATGTTAGGTACCATAGCTATGTCATGTAATAAACACACATGCAAGATTAAGTATAACGTGGTTTTGCTAACATGTACTTGTGCAGTAAGGTCGGTCTCGATAACGAATACTTGACTGTGCAGCCCCGCAATTTCATATCACAGTAAACGAGTCAGAATGTACTCTCATACACTGTACAATAAGACAGTCTCTCTTTTAGCACGAAGCAAGGATTGACGACCGTGGAATAAATCGATAAAGCAATTCCACGTTAATTGATTTTTTAAAGTCTGCCTACAGCGGCTTTTCTCTGTGATGTTCTTGGACTGAATACGTGCATGTGTTTTGAGATGGCCCCTATTTGGGGAGGGAAATGCACTTGTCTATTTTTAACCATTAAGGGGTCTTCTTGCACTGCATCACTGAGGTTTTTATCTTTAGAGTAAACAATGGACGGCAAAGAACAGGTAAAGACCAGGTAAGACATTTTATACAATATTTCCTACTGCATTTAATGATCAGACTTGTCCATGGTACTTCAACAAAAAATACTCAGTGAACGCTTTTTGAAAATTTATGAATCACACATCATAATCTGTTCAAAACGGCTTCATTTGGGCCCGACTAACAGTTACATATTGACCCCTATTATACATATTTTTACTACTCTCAAGTCTGTATTGTGTATTGAGATCAGGCACTTTATCGGTTTACAATGCAGTTAATAAAACGTTGTGTGTGATAAATGCACACTGGTACACATTGTATATGTGGCCACACACACACACAAACCACTTCCAACTCAGATTTACACTTTTTTCTTACCCCAGCAAATTTTGTAATCGGAAAGTGGGATAGAAATTTGTATACTGAAAAAAAAAACCCATTCTAAATATTGACTTCTGTCAAGGATAGGTATTTAAAGGTAAATGTATATTTCCATACCCATTAATTATATATATAGTATACATGATATGGATTTGATTTTCGATTTAATTGTTTTTTTTATACATTTGATAAAGCAGAGCAAAAGTTGGTTTTGAGTTAAAGTTGAAGACAATTACTCTCCATATATTTGTGTAATTTGCTAAATATGTATTATGTCATCTGACTAAATAACAAGAAAAGATTTATTTTAACATGATTCATTGATGAAATATTTTAAAGTTGTGTATTTGAAAATGAAAATTTAGATAATCTGTGCATATTATGCTACATTTTTTATTACCATGTGAAGTGTCGTCCTCTGTTTACAAAAATAGATATGTAGAAATTATTCATAAAACGGTTGGGATTTGGCGAGTCCCTCGTTATATATTCAAAGTGGACAGGTAACTAGATGTCAACAAAATGACCTTAGCTATATTTTATTTTGTATATACATGTATACATGAGTATACTACTGTCTCAACGTACGTGACCCGGTAATGTGTGGAAGCAGTTAAGGATTAACACAAAATATACATAAAAAGTATATTCTTTCCAAGATGATTAATGAGAGGACTTACATGAAGTGTTAGATAGTTATCTAAACCAAAACATAGTTGGTTGTAAGGTTTGCACTACAGTGTCCGGGTTAGATGTTGAGGAGTGGGAAGTTTGACAGGTGGTCTGGCTGTCCCAAGCCCCTGTGAAGAATTGATTAGCCTCTCAGGTTATTTTATCTATTTCGGGACTTCATTAACAACGATAAGGTATGTTGATATGGAGTGAAGGTGTTTTGTGCTGTATCTGTAATTATTTATGTACTTTTAGTCCTTTTTTTTCCCTTTGACGATTAATTCTCTTGCAATTGTTAAAGTTCATTACCTCCTGCACATCGTACATTTATCACAGTATGTGTAAACCCTGTGAGAAGATACAGTCATTGTTTTCTTTTGAAATGAAAAACTCGAATCGGATTTAAAATGTCAAATCATTTTAAATGTGAAAATTATTCAATTTTGAAAAAAGTTAACTTCTGTTTGTGAACAAAGATCTTCTGTGGCTAATGCTTTTCATTAAATACACCTGCGTATAATGTTAAAAAAACTTTTCCTGTTGAAATGCAATTTTTATTGTATAATTTATTTCATATTGATAATTTTACTATTTTAAAAAGAAGGGGGTATGGGTCATATAACGTGAAACTAGAAATTTGTATACATTTATTAACTACAAGGAATGACATTTTTTTCCCAAGAGAAACTTAAAATTCCCTCATACAAGAAGTTTAACGACAAATCATTCCCATTTGCCTAATCTGTTATACACGTGAGTGCCCCTTTTCTATTGCAATTGTTAACACGTTGTATATCAGTTTCAATGCGATCACTCTTTATTAAAGTGCAGTCCTTTTCTTTGATTTTGCTTGCTAACGAGGATATATGAATGAAATACCACAGTGTGCATTTATAATTAATCCTTCTCGATTTAGAACTTTAATGTGCGAAATAACGTGCTTGCACCAGTGAAAAAAAAGTTTATACATGTTTTAATATTTACTAGATGTCACGTACATCGTGTTCCTGCGTTTCTTCAATTGTTAAATGCATACAAGTAAAGATGTATATACAGCGTACGATTGAAAAAAAAATGAAGAAAATTCAGGTGACTTAATTTGATTCAGGTGATTAATTTAAGGAACAATTCGTTATACAACACTTTGGATTTGTTAAACAATTAACATATGTTAATGCTCGTAAGTTTTTTAGGGAAAAAAAATAGGTACATGTACGCTTGAATGCGTGAAAATTTGTGACAGTTACCAAGATAAATGCATACCACTGTGTCTACAATTAATTTATTTATTTTTTGAAAAACGGACCACAAAGGCTACTTTGCATAAAGTGTTCCTAACCTATTATGAAGTTATATTTGCTAAATAGACAGAAGTTTCTATTCTTTGTATTTGTTTTGTTTTATATATCAGTGAGACAGACTTGTAGAGTGGATACCCACGTACTTGTGTTATTTGAATAAGCCCGGAATTACAAACACTGTAATGCGGAAACTCCATATTAATCCCTACTATAAGACGTGTTTTAAATGTGTTATTATTAGATTTCTTGACAGTAGCTATGCCCCCCCCCCCCCCCCGGAAGAATCCGACGTTTTTCCCTTCCCTGACTGATAAATAAGAAATATCATTTGACTTACAATTACTATTAGTATTTAAAAGTCATAGGAAAAAGGCTTGTTTTTAAAATGAAATTATGTAATGTGAAACATACAACTTTATAAAATAACGGATTATGTATTTATTGAAGTTATCACAACACGTGTATCAATCGAACACGTGTTTACTTACGCGGGTATGTTAAGGCTACACCCAGAGATATACTACAGTGACTTGCTTCTACAATATGACGTCATAGTAAGCTGTATGACGTGAAGTTTAGAAATAATGATTTCTTAATATCTAAATTTTAAGTTTAATTTCAGGTCCAAGAAATGAATGGAATCATTCAAAAGCATAATATAAACAAAATCATGTCGTTTTGGGTGGTATAAACAGCTAAGGATTTATCACGGGGGTTAAATACCAAACCCATGACGTCATAACAATTGATCAAATATTTGCCGAGTGAAAATTAAACGTGACGAGAAGTCATGTAAACAAATATGTAAAATGGGAGTTTTAAAGCATATACCGTGAATGTTATGTGTGATTCATAAGGAATTAAAGATTAAGAATCAGGTACGCTGATATATTCTAATCATGTTTTCCTATAATGAACACAGGCAGTGCTTTAAAATCCCGATCAGCCTTTCCTCTGTCGTTCTATAACAACAAAGTTACAAAAGTTCACCACTACGCCGCATACTTTGAGACATATTTTTTGTTTGTATCGAAAGCTTGTATTCTATAGTACTTGGAAAGTCCTGCTAGAATCGTGTGATTAACATGAATTGATGACAATTCCTTGATCGTTTGTACAAAATGTAATAATTTTGGTAAGGTTTCATGCGAAACTTTGAAATAATTTTTTCTGTGTCGGGAGAGTAGGATTCTAGCAGCACTTTTCATGATCCAGTGATGTTTTTACATAATTATTTTCACAAAAAGAATTCAATTATCCCCGGGGTAGTGTTGAACTTTTTACTTTTTCATTAAGGCAATTTTTCTATTTATAGACGTCACGTGATGACGTCGTAGTGGAATGCTTCTTTTAGCCTAAAACTCAATGACGTCTATACAATGGATAATTATAGTAAATGTTTTATCTATGGCTTTTCCGATTTATCAATGTTACATTTTACGAAAAAAGTCTAAATTCTCCGAAATATGATCTGGGTACTGCCTTAACATACCTGCGTAGTGTTTGTTATGTAGACTGTCATTCTGATTGGTTACTGTATTTTTAGAATACCTGTTCTACAGTATTCTTTTAAAGCACGCACGCTTTACTCTATATAATAGTTTAACGCCATTCGAAGGCTCTCTCTCAGTGCAGTAAGACGTTTCCCCGCCTACCATCGTCGCAAGCCACGGGTTTTGTGTCCATTCTATTTCCACAAACCCGTGGCTGTCTCCTACAAATTTCTCTCGTTCTCATGAATATTGATAACATACATTCAACAAATGGAATAGCATCTGACGCTTCAAGTCAGAACCAATGAAAATGATCAGTCTATCTTGTACTTGGGTGTAACCATAACCACGAGCTGTACATCAACTTCGGTTCGAATTCCCTTTCTTTACGAGTAACGCTATTCAGCGTTCTCACGCAACGTCTACATTCGAAACCCTGTATTTTAATGTAAAATCTTGTAAGTATTTTAAAATATACGTTACTCACCTCTGTTCTTAAGGATCTATCGTATTTTTTTTTCAATAAATCTGCCACGCATAGCAAACATGATTTCATTATGGGCGCCGCCATTTAAGCGTAATCAAAAATTGCTACAGAGTGATTTCATTGGTCAAGGTAAATCTGGCGTCACTTAATAAATATTCAATGATTCAGTCGCGAGAACGAGAGAATTTGGTAGGAGGCAGCCACGGGTTTGTGGAAATAGAATGGACACAGAACCCATGGCTTGCGACGATGCCCGCCTACCTGCCCTCACAAATACCATCTTTGATTTGATCAATTATATGTTTTTGTTTTTGTAGATATATAAGAGTTGCGACGATGGAAAGTTGTATTTGAATATTAGTTTGTAATATTAAACTGCACTTACGAGAGCGCTTCTGTACATATATACGTGTTGTTATTTATTTTATGAATTATTCGTGTTCGTTTGAGTAGAAACGAATAAGAACATAAATTCATTTTTTTATCTTTCAGGTTGACTTGGCAGTAGGGAGCTAAATCAGTCCATTACACGGGTGGATTGTAACATTGACATCTGACTTGTCATGGTCCATTGATTTTACATAGTAAATCTCCGGAGGTCTGGTTTAACATGTGTAATAGAGATTTAAACAATTCACCTAAACAACACTTTAGAATTCTGTGATTGAAAGAGTGAAAATGAAAGAAGAAAAAATGTGATCTCGTGAAGTCTGATCCTGTTTTTTTTTCTTCTGGAATTTAACTGTACTTTTAATGGACTATGCGCCTTACGTACCGATATATAGTAGCGTGTGTTGCGGTCATACTGTTGGTGTGTACGTACCAGGTTTACATTTTGTCTCGTGATGGTTCCTTCCTCAATCGACTACCGAAGACTAGAAAAAGAACGGATATTGTGTCGGTTGCGAGATCTGGTTCGATTCTCGGCAATAACACCAGAAATGACCGAAACAAGGTTTCAAAGGGTGTAATTGTGACCATAACAGCAGAGGAATATAGACAAAATCCAAATCTCAAAACAGGAAATCCACTTATTGACGATTATGGGGAAAATGATCTCACGAAAACTGGTGAAATGGGGAGGGGGGTCACGTTTGTGGGGAAGGAGAAGGCCGCGGCAGCGAAGAGAATGCAGCTCTACAACATCAATGTTATGGCCAGTGACCTCATCCCCCTGAACAGACTGGTACCAGACTCAAGGCCGTCAGAGTTAGTACATTGTCTGTTTCAATCTACCTTAATCTTGACTGAGTTAATGTTCATCATGAGTAATGAGCCCTGCAAGTTATGATTTATTTTCTTTTCTTTACTTAGAGGGCGAAGATCAAGAAAACATTTTAGTATCATATTATTATTACTTACCCCCCCCCCCCCCCCCCCCGTCTTAAAAAAGAACGTTTTTGAACACTAACAAGATTTAAGGTTTGTTTAGTGTAGAGGTTATATCATTTACAATATTTATATGATTGCATGCTTTATAATGCTTTGTATTGAGGGGCTCCTTATTACGACAACGCGGATTTAAATAAACGTACTTGTATTTCCTTTTCTTTTTAAATGGATATAGTAAACGATGATTTAATCATCCTGGGGATATGAAATTCAATATCGGCAGGTTATGTATACAGGGAATGTTGATTTCAAAACTTTATTTTTCCCGAGGATATTATTTTCAATTATAAATATTACACAGTCGATAAATGAATTGAAATGCTACAAGTCAATGGAGTCTTATCATCAAACCATTTCGTTCCCTCTGGTCAAAGTTAATGATTTTAATCGGTTTCTGCTCTACAGTTTTAACATCAGCTGTTTAAAGAGCCTTATCACCGCAATATGACCATCGGATATAGAATGCATATATTATATAACTATACGTGTAGAGATAGGAATGCATGTATGTGTGTATATAAATGAATACAAAATATACATTTTCATTCTTTCGGCGTTAAAAAGAGGTCTAATTCCATGGTATTTTATGCAGTTAGAGTGATCTGTCTTAAGATGTAAAAGTTAAATCTACAGTGTAGTACTCATTTTTTAATCATTTCATGTATTCTTATTTGCATGTATTTTCCCCATTTAGGTAAGCAACTGTATTTTTCTCAATACTTCGTTGTAAATGGTTGGTTCCCTATGTTGGAAATGAAATGAAATAGATAAACTTATTAATATTTACACTTTTATACCCATTATATCTTTCTCAGTTTCCATAAAATATGTTTCATTAATGTATACACTGAGCAAAACTCGACTGTTTACAAAAATTTATTTCCGTTACAATAACACATTAGGTATAAGATATTTTCTCAATATTTTGTTCTCTCAGAATTGTACACAACGTCAAACACAGTAACTAGTATAAAGTCTAGTCGCCTCTTTCGTAAATTACTGCTCTGCAGTGACTTCTCGTGGATACAATATATCTTTGTATAGTTTGTTGTTCAATTTGTTGCCAAACAATGAAGATCTCTTTCCAATTCCTGGATAGCGTGCTGTGTATGTACGGATTGTCCTAATATTTCTTTTCAGCATATCCCAGATGTGCTCAGTTGGGTATTGTATCAGGAAACTGAATCACGCAAAAGTTGTTACATGTACATGTACGTATTTGCTGAAAGTTGTTGGGTTGACCGTGCTGTGTGGCAAGGGCCATTAATTGTCCTATGCCAAAATCATGCCTCTACTGGCAGCCCATATGCTAAATAAGCATTGGACGTAGAACATCATCCTGATATTTTCGGGCCTTAAGTCCTCCAACCTGTCTATAAGTGTGCATGGACACATCCGCCCAGAATATAACAGATTCTCCACCACCAAACCGGGCTATCTCTTCCACTGTGTCTTTCACCACATTTCCAATTTATTGAGGTTAATTTTAGTTTCTTCCACAAAAATGACGCTTGCCCAGTCAGCCCTTGTAAGTTGCAAATGTCGTCGTGCCCTTTGCTAATCTTTCAGCCCTGTGTCTCTGTTTTAGAACTGGTGGGTCGTCTTGCTCTGAGATTAACGTCCTGAAACGGTTCCTGATTGAGCTGAAACTAGACGAACGTAAATACTGATGTTATGTGATCTCATATACCCATAACACCTTTTCTGTTTTTGAATTGCAATTATAAATAATTACATTATATGCGTCTTGAGATACTGTGTCTGAGTATCGAAGAGGTCCCAAGACCATAAACTGAGAACAGACTTAAGTCAAAATTTCAAACCAATATAACTTTTGAAATAATTTTGAAAATGAAACAAAATTTTCATCATATATTCGAATTTAGATATTATATAAAATTGCAAATTTTTATGCAAATACATTAAATAAAACTCAAGATATTAAAAATAAAAATTTTGATTTAAGTCTATTCTCAGTTTATGGTCTTGGCTCCTGGGAACATATTGAGGGGGCATCCTAAATTACCATTTATAGCTTTCCATTATAGAGTATGTATTCACAGTATTGGTAAAATTAAAGGGGTCTATCACCCCTAACCTCCACCCAAGTTCTTACCGGCCTATGAATATGAGCAATGCATGCTGAGATATTTTTTTTTAGTTTGGTATTGAGCAGTGTATTTCCCTCACTGAAATCAATTTGCATGATAAAATTATCGTTTAATAGGAAACTAAATTTCTATATCACAGCAACATGATATTTTTCTCTGTCTTATTTTAGATGCAAGAGTCGGACTTACGAACATGATCTCCCTACCACCAGTATCATAATTCCGTATTTTGACGAATGGCCCTCCGTCCTTCTCCGATCTCTATACAGCATTGTCAATCGAACACCCCGACACTTGCTACAGGAAGTCATCCTCATTGACGATGCCAGCACAATGCGTCAGTAAATAATGTTGATTTTTCTAAAATTGATTTTTAAAACATATTTTTGCATACTTTCTAATTTTTTTATTTTAACATTTGATGCGGATAATTCAACAAAAACTTCAGAAGTTTTGTAAAATTTATTTATTTCTTTGATCTTGAAAAGTGCACAATTTTAAGTATGAATTATACTCAATTGTGTTTCATTTTCTGTTAGATTCAGGCTTATACGCATTTGGCTTACTTTTGAAATTCGCAATTTAACAGATATAGAGTAGCAATCTGATTACTGAGTATAGTATCAGTTCATTTGGATCCGTTCACGTAGACCTACGTGAGCGGATCAAAGGATCTAGTGTAAAATAAAAATCACTATGCATACAAACTCAAATATATATATTATGTTAACTCACTGTTTATATATATATTTTTATATTTTGTTATAGCTGAATTAAAAGAATCTTTAGAGGATTACATAGACAAACACTTTCCTAAAGGTCTCATCCGGGTTCTACGCAATACTGAACGTAAGGGTTTAATAGCAGCCCGTCTCCAGGGATGGAGGGTTTCCAAGGGTCAAGTCGTATCCTTCTTCGACAGCCACATGGAGGTCAATGAGAATTGGTTAGTACATGTATTAACATAAATGGTTTAACATGTGTCTCTTCTTCAGAAATTGTTTAAATCTTTTTTAGCTCTGGCAATCAAAATATTACTTGGGGAGTACAACGGTGTTTTTTCAGTGCAGAGTTGTATTTTTAAGCATAGAAGCTCGGAGATTAGGAAAAATATTGATTCTAGTCACTCTCAGTATCTTCCTTTGTATGTACAACTTAAATCTTGATCATAATCTTTTGGAGTTAACAAATTGCCTTTTATTGGAGACTTCGTACTTGGCACAGAGGTAGCTTAATGATCAGAGAGTGGTTTAAACCATGTCAAGGTCATTTGGACAAGGTCAATACATGCATCACTCGGTTATAGAATTCTTTTCCTGGTATATCATGCAATTTCACATCAAGTTGACTCGGATCAAATTCTGTTTGAACAAGGACATGGCCACAGGGATTTCAAGTATAACGTACATTATTCTCTGGTTCATAATCCCACCGTGGATGCAGAAGGATGGGACGCGACCCCTGAAATATATGAGCTGCTTAGCACAATGTTTTCGTTTCATTTGCAGATGTTACAAATGTATTTAAAGATAACACCGTCAACCTTACAGCTTATTTTTAGGGGAGTTAACGAAATGACTTTTTTATGAACGCGGTATTTTTCTAGTGAATCTTGCTGCAGAAATATCTCCATTGAGAAGAAATTCGTTCTGACTTGGGTGCGTTTTAAAGTACATGTATATCAACACCCAGCAGAACAAATATTGCGTGTACATTAATCTGTCTGATTTCCCTTGACGTAAATGTACATGTATGTCGAAGACTTCTGGTCTGAATGAGAAAAGATGACGAATCTGAGTGCATTGAAGTGTCAAATAATTGTTGAAGTATGAAATGACACATTTTAAATTTCTGAACAGTATAGACCAACACTAAATAATTGAGCATTATACATGTACTTTTAATTTTTTTTTCTGTAAATGATGACGTTTGTGTCATCTTCTGACTTAGCTCTTGCTAATTTTGGTATTTACGCCCATTCATTAAATTCAAAGATTAAAACATAATACATTTGCACCGGATTTTAGTTCTACAGTTAAAGTTATAACTACGCTTTTATGTTATCTCGATGAAATGTGATCATGAAGAATAATGATATAAAGGAAATACGTGTACCTAGTACTCCGATGGTAAAAAAAAATCCTATTAAACTTTCGAAATTAGGCAGGCGTCCTATCATTTAAAGGTTTAAAGTTGTACCCAAATAAGAGTATTTTGATGGCAAAAATCATAGTATTGTGAAAGGAAAGTACTATACTCTTTACTTTTTTTGAAAGTAGAAATGCATTTTAACAATTAATTTTAACGTTGCTTCTAACCCGCTAATTTATATGTTTTGCAGAAGCTTGCCTCGAAATGCTTTAATTTTTGGTCAATCAGTGAAAATCAGCGCTAAATTTTAAGTGTACACGTTGAACGTTGACGGTAGATTTAGCTGTCAGTGCCACATGTACATGAGTCGTGGTTCATGAATATGTGTGATACGTAATAGTGTGTAAAACGTAGTCTTATTTAGAGTATTACGTATATTTATTCATACAAGACCTAACTTGTGGTCCGTGCGGGGAATGAACCAAAAGTATGACTTGTGTACAAATTTTTGGTATCATGACGTCAATGATCCCAATTGCACTTCAACGACTTAGCAGCGCAGCTCATACCAATTTCTGCGATATAAATCGTTTGTGATCTGACCGTTGAATAACTGGGCTCAACTCTTTCCACAAAAAGAATAAAACTGTTTTGTCACAAAAAAGCGGTTTTTAGTACTTTGAATGTTTCGTGTGTCGTCTCTTCATGGTTTTGCAAACTGAAAATAAATCTGTAATTTATAGCTGATATTTAGATAGTATACTTCTAAGATTTGGAAATGACTTGCTGATTGAATACTTTTGTTCTAATCAAATTACATCACACTGGTTAAAGGATAACTACACTTAACGCTGGGTTTTGGTTTTTTTCCGTCTCTTCTGTTGCTTATATATCTTAACCTTATTTCACTTTTGTATATTTACTATGGAATTCTATCAATTTGGCAGCAAATTTAAATGTTAAAATGATTTTAGACTGTGATAGAATAAGATAATTCTATGTTTTTTTGGTCCCTACTCCTTTCCAAGTATAGAAATTTTAAACTTACCTGCCCTTGATTCAACATTAGGTATGCATGAGAGGTGGAGCTAACATTGTAGAATGACTCTAAAATTGGACTACGTAAATAACAATGACATGTATTAAATTACGTGATCACTCATCCCCATCTCTCCCTTTATACTGTATGGTACAAGTGCACTACTTATTTACAAAGGTTTCAAAACGAAATTAACGATATGAGCACATACATGTAAGTAAAGAATATTTTGAATCGACGCCCTACAATTCAACATGTTCGAGAAGAGTGTCCTAGTTAGCACAAAAACATGGTATCTTACAAGTCACGTGACGGAGTTTAGTATTCACAGAGTTACCTAAGGTAGGACATCACGTGGTGAATTATAATATTCAACATGTCACAGCCCTTGGTTACAACAGAGAGAGCGAATGTAAGAAGAAGCAGTTTTTTCTCTTTTAAACCATGAGCGCATGTTTGTCTATTAATCTCTTTTTGACACAACATTATTAATGCAAATATACAACTACTGTTAAACGGAGAACAATAGACAAACATGCGCTGACTATGTACAAAGTCAGTGAAAAAGTGGGCGTCCTCATTATCGTACGGAGATTCAAGATATTGTGATGACCCCCACCTATGAAAACTGCTTCGTACTTCGTAAGTACATACTTTTGTTTAATGTAATTACGTGAAGTTGTAGATTACATGTTGACCATTCCTGCAATTAAAAGAAAAATGCTTGTTTTGAAAGTTTATTTTGTCGCAATTTTCGCATGTCCTTTAGTGCAGTCATCCTTTTATAGATAAGATTAAATCAGCACTTAAACTTAATAATGAAACATATGTGTTGATGTTAAATGATATATCAAAGAGAATCTACATGTAGTCATGCATATCATGGTTGAGTTATGATTCCTTTTTTTATTACCGTGGGCATTTGACTTGGCTTTTCTCCCAGGTTCTTTAACATGATTGTATTCAATGCATTAGCATGGGCCTTTTGTTTGGTCAGTGTCTCGGTACTGTTAAACAAGCTTCGAAAACAAACGGTTCAATTCCTCTCCTCGCCATTTTCTCCAGAGCAAAGGGGTAGATTAGGAACCTATGATAAACAATGATGCTGTTCGGTGTTGGAATGATTTTTTTTTTTAGTTTTTGAAGTTGAATCACCGGAAACATGATTAACAAAACAGAAAATATCCGAAAACATTCAATTTCTAACTTCTGTATTAATTATAAAGTTTTTGGTTAATTCATATAAACTGTAAATTTGTAAATAAACTGTAAATATTTTTTTTTACTTTTGGTAACAGGTTACAGCCCCTCCTTACAGAGATTAAAAAGGACCGTAAAACGGTTGCCATGGGAGTACTGGATTACGTAAATGCTGAAACGCTAGAGTACCGTTTCAATGATGGTTATATGACGCGGTACGGCTTTGACTGGCGAATGGTTTTCTTCGAAACTTTCTTTAGACAGGACCAGGTTGGAAAAACAGAGGCTGATACAAGACCGTAAGTTAAGACTTGAGTCTTATGAAAACTAGTATGTATTTTTTAAAGCTTACCTGAGCCGAAGGCTTAAGTGAGCTTTCCTGATCGAAGAGTGTCTGGCGCCCTTCATGTGTGTGTCGTTCGTAAACTTTTTCACATTTACGACTTCTTCTCCAGAAGCACTGGGCCAATTTCAACCAAATTTGCCACAAAGCATCCTTGAGTGAAGGGGATTCAAGTTTGTTCGCAGGAAGTGCCATAACTTCTTTCAAAGGGAGAAAATTAAGAATTTGTGAAAAATTGTTGGCATTTTTAAAATTTTCGCTCGTTTTTTAATAACGTCACAATGCACATAAGGTTGGTTTTCGTTTGACAGTCATCAATTTATATGGAATCATCCTCATAAAGTGTAGATTGAAATTTGTTCAAGTCATGACCCAAGGGTGTAGGGTGGGGCAGAAATTGGGGTTCAAAGTTTAACCTAGGAATATATAGGAAAGTGTTTAAAAATCTTTTCCCCAGGAACAGCAAAACCATGATTAGTCATTTTAGACAGAAGCATCTGGAGGTAGAGTAGATTCAAGTTTGTTCAAATCCTGACCGACCCCCCCCCCCCCCCCCCCCCCCCGGGAGTAAGGTGGGGCCACAATGTGCAATAAAAGTTATACATAGGAATACATGGGAAAAATCTTTAAAAGTTTTCTTCTTAACAACAGCAAATTCATAATTGGTCATATTTATATGGAAGCAATCTCGAGCTCAGGTTTGTAGATTGAATTTTGTTCAAATCATGACCCCTTTGGGTAGGATGGGGCCAGAAAAAGTGATCAAAGTTATACATGAGAATGTGAAAAAAAAATATTTTACTGATGAAGAACAGAAAGACCATAGTTACTCAGGTGAGCTTTGTGACCCACGAGTCTCATGTTTATGTTTTTTGTTGTTTTTTTTGGGGGGGGGGGAGGGGGGGTTTAATGTATATTTTCATTGTAAATTTATTCATTAATTTTTTATTTGCATAAATTAATTTTTTAGCGGTACCGTGATGGTTGGAGCAGCGTATGCCATTGACAGTAAATATTTTGGGGAGATTGGATCTTATGACGAGGGAATGAAAGTATGGGGAGGGGAAAATCTGGAGATGTCATGGAGGGTAATTTTTTTTTCCTTGATATAAATTAATTTTGCAGTTTTCATGGTCATCAGTTCCTTAAATGGTTATCCCTATCTTTCCACTTCTCTTTGCAAGAGTTACGTGTATATGGTCGCCCGCGTGGCGCAGTGGTTGCCCTAGAGTCGCGGTGTAAGGAGTTGAACCTTACGTCGCGGGTTCGAATCCACTGCGGGACGTGGAGACTGGCCCTTCAGAGGAGACCGTATAAACCCAGGTCTCGTGTCGCAGTAGGTGCTGGCACGAAAAAGATCCCTCACTGCTCAATGGCCCTAAGTGCCGAGTATAGCTGAAAATTTGCAGCCCTCTACCGGCAAGTTGTGGCGTCTTCATATGACAACAAACAAAACAATAGATCACTCAACGCTGGTTTAGATTACACTCAGAAAAATGATTATTTTGTAAGGGAACAAAGTACCCCTATGTAACAGGCATTGGCAAATCAGTATTTTATATCGACCCACTGTAAATAGCTTTCAGATACACAAAAGAAAACATTGATCTTGATTCAGCATGTTTAATGCAGCATTTTAACCGAAAAACAAAAGGCACAGGAGAAGTCGTTATAAACAGTGGGATTTCAAGGACAAACAGTATCGACTTTTGCGATCAGCATTAATATTTACTGTCATTGTCTCTTCAAAACACGATCAGCCAAACTGGCATTCAAATCCGGATGCATAAATAATAATGATTATGATGAGGAATTGATAGCATCGGTAAGGCACCGGTCCGCCATTCTCTTACTTAAATACATTCGAATCCAGTAAGTAAGGGGAAAAGATGATTATACTTAGTAAATATTAAATCCAACAGATGTCTCTCCTTAACCATATAAAATAGCATGCTCCTTAAACTAAGGTATATTTTGTCTAATAATATTTTTTTACAGTTTATCGGAAAACATCAAATTTTTGTATACTTATTGGAAACGCATATTTGCGTGTTTCATTGGTTTTGTGCGAATAGCGCGCCCACAACAAAAGAACTACATGCGATAAGAGCAAATAATTGCCCCCATTAAAATTTTTAACATTCCTAAAAATATACACAATTGTATATGTTGTATGAACAATCTTAATTGACAAAAATTATTATTGTATGGAAGTAGATTATCGGCAATTCTTGTTTCAGTAACGTCACAAACTACATGTATTTGGATTTTCTCTTATTTTTACGAAAGAGGACAAAATGAACGAAATTTGGTCAATGTTGGGTATAGAATTTATTAAGTGCAAGCTTGCCTCAAAACATTCATATATTTCATTGAAATTATAATTCTAGATCTACACAATATATCAAAAGATCTAGCTGGGGCAGACCTACGCTCCATGACTTTTCATCAAAGTATCGACGTAAAATACACGTTTTCCTCTCAAAATCATTGAAATTCTGAACTTGCGTCATCTTTTTGACGTCATATTTAACATATTGCGTCATAGCTGATGAAGATAAGAAGTCTGCCGATACCCCCTAGGTAAAGAACATAATTATATATTTCTACATCAAAGTTTAATTTTGGGGGCAGATATTGGTCATCATAGAATATAGTCCTTTGTCCGCGAACTTTTTTAACAATCTTCGTGCATGTACAATGTATTATAATAGTTGACAAGATTTCATCATTAATAATCACTAATCAGTGCAATCTGGAACTTAGTACTTTTAGGTTACCCCTTAGCTTGACCAAGCAAATTTTAAAAAATAAATTTATATATATTTATATTTTTGTTACTTTAAATATTATTGTTGATATTATTAACATTAAGTACATACTAGTATTACTTTTACAGGTGTGGATGTGTGGGGGTAGGCTCGTACATCTACCTTGTTCTCACCTGGGACACATCCCCCGGTCCCAGCCCTACTCTTTCCCCGGAGGAAGGAGAAGCATTGAGGTGTATAACTACAAGAGGGCGGTAGAAGTGTGGGTTGATCCGGAGTATAGAGGGTTTATCTATGACCACTTCGACGAAATGAAGGTAAATCATGATAAGAAAAAAATAATAATAGCCTCAGAGCATCTAAACCTAGAATAGTAAGCATCCACGTGGTAAAATTCTTTTATGTGAATTCAATGCGGTGATGTGTTTAGTCGTGCGTAGCTTACTGAATCTGATAAAAGCCACTTCTTTGATTTCACCCTCGAGTTACTCACGAATTCTACAAACAAAATTTAATTTTGCCAGATCTGGAGTTTACAAGTTTCGCTTCTTTCACTGTACATTTTTTCGATCATTGTTTTTCTTTTATCTTCAAAGTTGTTTGTTCTATCGCGAAATCGACGACATTGAAATCACAGTAAAAATGCAACTTTTAATATACACTTTATGATTTAGAAAATAAATCATTTCAAAGGAATTACCGATACCATAATCATTTTATAGGTAGATATGTATAATTCTGTATAATAATCGAGCTAAAAAGTATACATTCATGCAAACATTCAAGCCGTAATAAAAAAAGAACAATCACTATTGATGTGAAATTGTTTTTGATAAATGTCTCTATTAAATGTAGATTTTTATGTGACGAATGGTGGAAAGTTTCACTGCTTATATGGATTTTACAGTCAATAAAACATCATTGTTCTGAAATCTTTTGTTTAATCACCTTCCATGTGTAATTTAAAAAAAAAGCATCACATTTGCAAGTGATTGATAACAACCTATATTCGATTATTTTAAACCAAAGAAATGACAATGATCGATAATATTTCTAAAGTCTGCATGTATATGAAACATTGTTTCTTATTTGAGGCATTCATATATTGATTAAGACACATATCACTATTATCTACACAGTATCTACACATTACCTTGTATCTACAGACTTATTGTATACAACGTTGAACATTCGATGTTCAAAATTCATTGTACCGCAGGGAGGGCTAAGACCAATTTACATTGCATGTACAGAGTGAAAGCTGTCCTTAAGTGGTTTTACAAAAACTGCTTAAATGCAGTTGTAATTAAATAACTCGGACGCTTTATTTTCAATTTCTTCTTATCACTACAGTAACTCCCACCATAACATCCAATTTTTTTTTACCTAATTAAGGAATAGGGATTTATTCGTTATGATAAGAAAAAAGTACAAGATGTGCATGCAGTGTGATGCAGAAGTTATTATTATCATGTATTTTCGTAAACAAAGGATCTCCAAGTTCGCATGGGAAACCCTTGGTTTGCAAAATGCTCATGTTCTTTTGCAAATTCAACCCTTAACTGATAATTTAAGCTTTTAATAAAATCCCAAATTCAATAAATTAAGAAAAGAAGAAATTGCGTTTATTCTGTGTATTCCCAATTTTTGGAAGAACGCTTTCCATAAAAAATAACGCAAAGAAATTTTTTTAATGCTGAACGAGATGGGTAATGATTGGATAAAGCAAGAGCGGTAACTCTTTTTCAGACTCTACACGCTGGGGACTTGAGTCCCAGAATTCAATTGAAAAAGGATCTCCAGTGTAAAAATTTCACTTGGTTTATCGACAATGTGTGGCCGGAGCTTTTCATCTTCAATAGGAATGTCCAAGCCTGGGGATCGGTAAACCATCGTTGTTTTGTTAGATCTATTGTTTCAAGGGAAAAAAAGAATTTGGTAGCTTTGAAGTGCAGACTTGTAGCAGAATTCAAGCGAAATCAAGCATTGAAATAATTTCCAAATTAATCTACTTCTTTTGTTTGATTACAGTTGCGCAATGTGAACGACAATAAATGCTTCGACAATCATCAGTATTTGTTCCAAGCTCCTGAGCGTCTTTTCTTTGAACCGTGCCATTTTAAACTTGCTACGCAGGTTAGCACAATTCAGAAAACTATTCTGTAAATGATTAACTTTCTAATAAAAACTCTCAAGCTTAATGTTTTTAAGAAGGATAAAATTGACAATTGCCATTTCTATGTAAACTCGAATTAAAAAAAAAACATGTAAACCCCACAAAACGTTTGTTTGCTTAAGTTTTTCCCTGTTGTTTCTTTTCACAAACTGAAATTTTGTCATAACTAGGTTTTCAATTAAATTTAAAAGGGGTTTTCTCTGACGAATGATAATTTATTGAGGACTTCCTTACAATGCGTGGTGCTAAAAGAAAATCAAGAAGGCGCTCGTCCGATGTTAGAGGACTGCATTATAGGTCCCAGGGATAAGTGGACCCACGTTAAGGTAAGAGTGGGAAGGACCGAATGTCTATGAACATATTTCATGGGTACAAATGAACCCACACTAATGAGAGATGAGGATGTAAAGAGAGAAGGACTAAAGTAAGATAACTGTGTTATAGTCAGAGGTACAAATGAACCTATCCTAAGGAAAGAGATGAGGCTGTCTTGTTCTCTTGGCTGGGGGGAGGGGGGGGGGTGAGGATCATAGGACAAATGTCAAGGTAAGAAGATTGTTCCATGAAGCCAGAGTACAGTGAAACTAACACTAGGGCAAAATTAATTTGTATCATTAGACTGAGAGATAAGAGGAACCATTTGAGACTACTGTTTTATGACAGGGATAGGACACAAATGGACCCAAGTCAAAGTAACATAAGACCTACTTGTACATGTAGATGTGTTTCATATATGACAGAATCAGATGGGAATACAAGGGGACATATATCAAATTATATAATGAATGTTTGATAACAGACAACATACATGTACATAATTATTAAGCTTTTTTTTTATCTTAGTCAAATTAATTTCATTATTTTTATAAAAAGGTTAAAAAAAATTAGCAATATATATTTCTTCAAATAGTTCATTTGCATGAAAGTAGACATCAGACTTCATGATTTGTTTTTTGTATATTTTTACAGAACAGTTATATAAGACATGAAAAGACCGGTCTGTGTTTGGATGTGGATCCAGCAGGCATCGTAGCGAAAAAATGCGCGCCAGGGGTAAAAACACAACAATGGCAGTTCAATTACTATGTTTGACAAAAACATGGATTTTAGTTCATTTATAAAATTTCAATGTATATATCATTCAACGTTCCATTGTTAATTGTTAAAAGTTTTGAAATATTATCTCGCAAGGATAAACAGGCTCTGTGGACGTAAATGATGCATAAATTACATGTATGTCTTATTTGCAATGAATGTGGCCCAAATGAAGGTTACATGTTATCAAACCTTGTTGACACTCGAATGTGATTGAATGATGACAAAAGTGTGATTGGATGATGACAAAATGCACCTGTAATTACAAAGATGTGATTGGATGATGACAAAATGTAATAACAAAGACGTGATTGGTTAATTACAAAGAAGTGATTGGTTGAGATTATTATGATGTGATTGGTTGATTATAAAGATGTGATTGGTTGATTATATTATAAAGATGTGATTGGTTGATGACACAAAATCATTTTAGTGGGTAAATGTGGATATGACTTTGTGTTCAATTTTTGTTGGCATAATAATTTAGTAAGTTGCTCATTATGTATGCGTAATGGCATCATGCCGTCTGTATGTGTGTATATGACTATGAATATTAATTTGTATTTACTGGGGATGTGTCTTTGGGTTATGATAAATTAAGGTGAATTGTAAAGGTTTGAAAATATAATCAAATGTTCCTGTTTTACGCTGTGTATGAAATATTCATTATGCCATGCTTTAGTTTCCAACATCTTGATTTGTGACTGTTAATAGAAATATGACATGCTGAATTTTAAAAAAAGATAATGAGCAAGATAATTTAATACAATCAGTACTCATCATTTTGAAATTTTCATTGAATGAGTATATAATTACCTTTTAACTACAATCATGTTTACATTTAATTTTGAAATATTGTGCCATGTAATATATTTGATTTTTGTTTAATTGTTTCTATTTGTGTATTAATGAGGAAATGATACCTTGTTGTTATGATTCAGGATAAGAATCTTAATTAAATGATTTTAATAAAATCTGTAAGTCTAAGTCTTTACTATATTTATTCATTTCCACCAACAAGGTTCGGAAAAGACGTTTTATTTTCACCCATTCTTGTTTGTCTTCGTTATATATTTGAAAGAAAAAACGTAAAGAAGAGATAGCTATTTAAAAAATAAAAGATGAAATCCATAATCGAATGCAGGGTTTTTTCCGACTTTTTATTGAAAAAATTAATTCGGGATAGAATATAGATAAAAAGTCGGCCAAAACAGGTTATTAACTGAGTTGAGTGGTCGTATAGTTCTAATCATGCTCATTCAGACTATATAGGATGGAATACGTTCCATTTCCATTAGAGAACTCTTCAAAGTTAGAGGCGTGTTTGGTCGTCAGACTGGGACAGCATGGCGTTGCGAATAATACAAAACATGCCAATCTCAATCCAATTTTAAATGTTAAATGTATTTGTCATTCCAATTAAAGAATAGAAGAACTAAAAGACATATGTAAGAGAGCGAGAACCCTAAATTTATCATCCATTAATAAAAAATACGACATTTCCGAGGCATGTGTATTGTAGTAAAATTAGGGGACTTTACTGATAATGTCGCCTACCTTAGTATAAGGTGACGACGGAGCACCCAGGTTTACATGATGAATAAATACGGGTACATGCAACAAACACAAAAATAACAGGTAACGTGGTGAAAGGTAGACTGGCAGGACTCGACTGATGTGGGAATCGTGCCGGCACGGGTGGGTAGCTATGAGGTCAGGGTGAAAGGTCATAGGGAATATATTAATATATGCAATTTCACTACATTCCTCCCCGTTTTAATAAAGCAAGGGGCAAATGCTGTAATTTACTCTGAGGAATGCAAACCGAAAATATATGATTATTATTCAAAATGACATGGAAAATGTATGAACTAATTCATGTATCCACATGAACTTGGCCGGAATTACTTCTAGCGCCTTAGTTCTGCAGGATAAACATGTTTGTATGTGGCAAGATCGTATATATGGTTTGATTTGATAATCATGATATATAATCATTAATCAACCTGTATCTTCCACACTGTATCTATAATGATCATGTTTTAGCCATACGCATTCCATATTGTCTATTATGATGAATCTAGTGGGTTTAAACAGTAATATATTTATATTAATCAAAAAGAATACTATTGACCTATGACCTAACATTGACCTACTTCCATGAGAGTCCTGAAACCGAATGATGTTATGACATATGGTTTAATTAGTCTAGTGAGATTCAGTTGTACCAAGGTTAATATATATGATCACTTAATCACGTATACAACTGATTTGCCTAATTAAATTGTGCAGGAGTGCAGTCTATGTTAGAACCTTACAACAGATATATAAATAATATGTAATTTACTGCACTGTTGTGATGTATACTGATAATAACATTATATTTTGATTATTATACTTTGATGTGTGCCGTCACCTTAACTATGATGCATAATACTGTATAACTTTACTAACTTAAAGCCTTAACTAAACTAATTGTATTTTCTTATTACCTAACGTGAGAGCTAAACTAACTGAAGAGTAGGTTTTCTTAATTGCTGGCCAAAGATAGAAGATGCTATGAAACATAACTATTGAAAACGTATTTACAAAATACTTTCCGCATCAGTACCGTCACTTTCTAAGATTAGTAAGCCAGGTATGACACGGAAAAAATATACTTGGTTTAACCAATAACTACGACATGTAACTATATACGTGTAAAGCAATCCGCACCAATACCGTCACTGAGAGAGGTCAGCCAAGTATCTTAACGGAAAGCATAAGGCTATTTACATAGAGCAATCCGCACCAATACCGTCACTGAGAATGGTCAGCCGGGTATCTAACGGAAAGCATAAGATTATCTACGTACAGCAATCCGCACCAATACCGTCACTGAGAAAGGTCAGCCGGGTATCTAACGGAAAGCATGGACTATTTACATTAGGCGATCCGCCATGATATAACGTCACTGAAAAATATCAGCCAGGTATATCCAACGGAAAGCATATGTTGCATGTTCACACCAGTCCTCGTTGAAGTATTCATGGACATCCTTAAGAACTGGATCAAAGACTTGCAACAGAGTAGATCATTGCAAAATTATGACTTATATACTGCCTGAATATGCTTCACCCAGTTTTGACCTTAAAGTACTAATTAAAACCAAGAATTACTTGGTAAGTGTTAATTATCAACATTTAATCTGATTTGTGTGAGCAATAACTATAAATGTTCACTGTTTATCTGGAAGTGCAGAACTAAGATATTCTTAAATAATATTAATTACTTTGTCATGTTGCTAATTCAACTAACTAAAATCTCAAATGCTATAAATGTAAAAGTACCACCAAAAGCTTACTTATAAGTGAACTGTTAGTATATTTCACTACTTTGCATATTGTATGCCACCGTTCACGGTAGCTCAGTCGGTAGAGCGCTCGCTTCGTGATCGGGAGGTCGTGAGTTCGAATCTCGGCCGCGACTGACCTAAGTCGATAAAAAATGGGTAGCAACTGTTCCTTCGCCATGCGCTCGGGACTTTGAAGTGAAAGTTGCGGGTCCTTCGGATGAGACCTTAAAAACCGAGGTCCCGTGTCACGGCAGGCGTTGGCACGATAAAGATCCCTCACTGCTCAATGGCCCTGAGTGCCGAGTAAAGGTCAAAATTTGAAGCCCTTCACCGGTATATGGTGACGTCTCTATATGAGTGAAAAATTCTCGAATGGGACGTAAAACAACATACAATCAATCAATCATATTGTATGCCATAAGTGTATAAAGCATTGCTGAGTAGCTTACTAATAGTTATATACTAGTTTAACTGTGGTTTTGTGCAAAGTATATGGGTCTTAAATTATAACTAATAACATTTACACTGGCAATGATAAATAACTAAATACCCTTAGTTGTAATAGATATTACTTATAATGTGAGTGACCGTTCATCATCACTGTGCTCAATTATTACTGACAATAGGTACAAATTAGTTACTATAAATCTACTGTTTAAATGTTACACATGCACTCGATACTAACTATTAGATTGCTGCAACTGGTGATTATATAAAACTTAACAATTATAGCACTATACAGATCTACACACTACAATCTACACTATTTCCCCTCCCTTTTATTTTTAAAATAAGAGTTAAGTAATAATAGCTAGCTGTTCTCAGTTATAAATGTAGTAATACTATATAGAGCTTATACCTGATGTAGATTGTGCATAACTATACTAGTGTATTAAAGACAAAGCATTCAAGTATTATTGCGCAGACAAGTGTTACGGTGTAAAATACGACTTTTCGGACTAATTAGAAATTACTGTGTAAATTAACTTTTCGGACTATGTGTAAATTGTTATAAAAACTTTTCGTATATTTCGGCAAATGTGATAAATTCTATAAATTCCGCACAGCTTTAATCCTACCTGAGGCAGTCTGACATGGACAGTTAATCTCCTAATTGACTTCTGTTTATATTTATTGTCACTTAATCTTTCATCTTCTTTAATTCTATTATATACATGCCGCTAAAATGTCACCAGTCGCTCAATAATTGTTTGATACTTGATTTCTTTATACTTTCTTGTTAATCCCTTTATTTTGTCGTATCTTTATTCAGTATGTAGGTTTTGTTGTTAAAAATTATAGTCAGTTGGAATCAGACGTTCGGTGCTGATACATTCCAAACTCATGTAAAAGTATATTCTATGCTGATTCTATATAAAAGTACTAGAACTATAACGCGTGTTGGCTTATTGGAGGTTTTATGAATCTGGGTTCAACAATAAGAGGAAAACTCACGGTTGGCCCAGAATTAGAATTGGACGGACAAGTTCATCCCGTAAAACTTGGTGTGAGAAACCTAAGGGTAACGACACCCGGGGCTGCTACATATATTTTGTAGTAGTCAGATCCTGGACCTCTACAAGAGCCAAACAGCGAGTTTCCCCAGATTTTGACAGTGCTGATACAGATGAAGCAGACGTACACGTATTAGGACCAGCCATGGAATATTCTTTCCGACCGCAGTGGAGACAGAAGAAGTTCAACTTCCCTTCGTGTCAGCATCCAGTGTGCGGAAGGTGTGGAAACGTACACCCTAACGTTTTATGTTTCGCGTTTAACCAGAAGTGCTACAGATGTCAAAGAATTGGACATTATTCTAGGATGTGCTTCACGCAGATTAAAGAATCAAAGCCAAAAAGTAAGGGCAAAGGACCTGTTACTAGCAGGAAAAAGACGCGAGACGTGAAACGACTGTGCAAGTATCTCGAAAATAAACGAATTCTGCGAGAATTGCCATTCAGTTCTCTTCGGGACAGTCAGTTTCGTTCAATATGTGATAATTCGTGTGTTCTACGAACTGAGCTGAAAAATCTTAAAATTCAAATATGCAATGCAAATAAAGAGAAAAGGAGTTTGACGGCCGAATTAACAAAAGCCGAATCTGAAATCAAAAAACTTCAAAATCAAAATATGGTTATGAAAAAGAAGATGCAAGAACAATCTAACAATTCTAATGATAACATCTATCGTGAGAAAATTCGCAAACTGGAAGACGACGCGCACGGTGACAGAGTGATTATGGACTTAATGCAGAGGAAATTGAATGAGATCGGAAAGGAACATAATCAGTATGTAATGCAAATTCAGGCAGAAGCTGAGAAAACAACCAAACAAGTAAGGGAAGAAAACAACGTCCTGCTACAGACAATCCGAATATTGGAAGATGAAAAGGATCATTTGCTCGCCTTGTTTGTGGAAAATAAACAAAGATATCAACCATGGAGACGTCAAGGAAGACCAAGAAGGGGCCAGTTTCATTGAAAGAACATTCAAAACACGAGGACGTGTTTTACGCGAAGGCGGAGCATGTGTTACGGTGTAAAATACGACTTTCGGACTAATTATAAATTACTGTGTAAATTAACT